GTGGCTGAGTGATTGTTGGAGTGAGTGATTGTTTTAGTGGCTGAATGGCTGAGTGATTGTTGGAGTGAGTGATTGTTTTAGTGGCTGAATGGCTGAGTGATTGTTGGAGTGAGTGATTGTTTTAGTGGCTGAGTGATTGTTGGAGTGAGTGATTGTTTTAGTGACTGAATGGCTGAGTGATTGTTGGAGTGAGTGATTGTTTTAGTGGCTGAATGGCTGAGTGATTAGTGGCTGAATGGCTACGAGTGATTGGAGTGAGTGGCTGATTGTTTTAGTGGCTGAATGGCTGAGTGATTGTTGGAGTGAGTGATTGTTTTAGTGGCTGAATGGCTGAGTGATTGTTGGAGTGAGTGATTGTTTTAGTGGCTGAATGGCTGAGTGATTGTTGGAGTGAGTGATTGTTTTAGTGGCTGAATGGCTGAGTGATTGTTCGGGTGAGTGATTGTTTTAGTGGCTGAATGGCTGAGTGATTGTTCGAGTGAGTGATTGTTTTAGTGGCTGAATGGCTGAGTGATTGTTGGAGTGAGTGATTGTTTTAGTGGCTGAATGGCTGAGTGATTGTTGGAGTGAGTGATTGTTTTAGTGGCTGAATGGCTGAGTGATTGTTGGAGTGAGTGATTGTTTTAGTGGCTGAATGGCTGAGTGATTGTTGGAGTGAGTGATTGTTTTAGTGGCTGAATGGCTGAGTGATTGTTGGAGTGAGTGATTGTTTTAGTGGCTGAGTGATTGTTGGAGTGAGTGATTGTTTTAGTGGCTGAATGGCTGAGTGATTGTTGGAGTGAGTGATTGTTTTAGTGGCTGAATGGCTGAGTGAGCGTTTGATTGTGTGATTTAATTGTAGAATGAATGGTTCCTTGAGTGATTGATTTAGTAGTTGCGTTTACATTCTAATGAGTGGTTGATATTTAACGCTGCTAGTTTAGTTTGGTCCCTGGTTGGTTGATAGGTTAGTTGAAAGAGCGTTCGTATGAGTGAGCTAAAATAATGGTTGGGTGATTGAAAGTGTTTTCGAGTAATCTTGTGGGTGATTTGTCGACCGGTTGAGTGATTGGTTGGGTAGATTCGTTGAGTAATTAGTTGAGTATCTTGTTGAGGCACAAAATGTCGTTGACTTGGTAGCTTTGGTGTGCACTTCCTGGTTTTAATCTTCATCTATATGACGGCTGGGGTGGGGATTTCGTATGATATTGAAAGAAGCATGACATTATTTGAATATACAGTTTGGTGAATAGTCGTATGAACGCCCAAGTGTGTCGCTCGAGATATCCCAGATATGTAACGGTAATCTGGAGATAATCAAGGCTGGACAAGACAATCTAGTGATTGAATGGCTGAGTGATTGTTGGAGTGAGTGATTGTTTTAGTGGCTGAATGGCTGAGTGATTGTTGGAGTGAGTGATTGTTTTAGTGGCTGAATGGCTGAGCGATTGTTGGAGTGAGTGATTGTTTTAGTGGCTGAATGGCTGAGTGATTGTTGGAGTGAGTGATTGTTTTAGTGGCTGAGTGATTGTTGGAGTGAGTGATTGTTTTAGTGGCTGAATGGCTGAGTGATTGTTGGAGTGAGTGATTGTTTTAGTGGCTGAATGGCTGAGTGATTGTTGGAGTGAGTGATTGTTTTAGTGGCTGAGTGATTGTTCAAGTGAGTGATTGTTTTAGTGACTGAATGGCTGAGTGATTGTTCGAGTGAGTGATTGTTTTAGTGGCTGAATGGCTGAGTGATTGTTGGAGTGAGTGATTGTTTTAGTGGCTGAATGGCTGAGTGATTGTTGGAGTGAGTGATTGTTTTAGTGGCTGAATGGCTGAGTGATTGTTGGAGTGAGTGATTGTTTTAGTGGCTGAATGGCTGAGCGATTGTTGGAGTGAGTGATTGTTTTAGTGGCTGAATGGCTGAGTGATTGTTCGAGTGAGTGATTGTTTTAGTGGCTGAATGGCTGAGTGATTGTTGGAGTGAGTGATTGTTTTAGTGGCTGAATGGCTGAGTGATTGTTGGGGTGAGTGATTGTTTTAGTGGCTGAATGGCTGAGTGATTGTTCGAGTGAGTGATTGTTTTAGTGGCTTGAATGGCTGAGTGATTGTTGGAGTGAGTGATTGTTTTAGTGGCTGAATGGCTGAGTGATTGTTGGAGAGGAGTGATTGTTTTAGTGGCTGAATGGCTGAGTGATTGTTGGAGTGAGTGATTGTTTTAGTGGCTGAATGGCTGAGTGATTGTTGGTGAGTGATTGTTTTAGTGGCTGAATGGCTGAGTGATTGTTGGAGTGAGTGATTGTTTTAGTGGCTGAGTGATTGTTGGAGTGAGTGATTGTTTTAGTGGCTGAATGGCTGAGTGATTGTTGGAGTGAGTGATTGTTTTAGTGGCTGAATGGCTGAGTGAGCGTTTGATTGTGTGATTTAATTGTAGAATGAATGGTTCCTTGAGTGATTGATTTAGTAGTTGCGTTTACATTCTAATGAGTGGTTGATATTTAACGCTGCTAGTTTAGTTTGGTCCCTGGTTGGTTGATAGGTTAGTTGAAAGAGCGTTCGTATGAGTGAGCTAAAATAATGGTTGGGTGATTGAAAGTGTTTTCGAGTAATCTTGTGGGTGATTTGTCGACCGGTTGAGTGATTGGTTGGGTAGATTCGTTGAGTAATTAGTTGAGTATCTTGTTGAGGCACAAAATGTCGTTGACTTGGTAGCTTTGGTGTGCACTTCCTGGTTTTAATCTTCATCTATATGACGGCTGGGGGTTGGGGGATTTCGTATGATATTGAAAGAAGCATGACATTATTTGAATATACAGTTTGGTGAATAGTCGTATGAACGCCCAAGTGTGTCGCTCGAGATATCCCAGATATGTAACGGTAATCTGGAGATAATCAAGGCTGGACAAGACAATCTAGTGATTGAATGGCTGAGTGATTGTTGGAGTGAGTGATTGTTTTAGTGGCTGAATGGCTGAGTGATTGTTGGAGTGAGTGATTGTTTTAGTGGCTGAATGGCTGAGTGATTGTTGGAGTGAGTGATTGTTTTAGTGGCTGAATGGCTGAGCGATTGTTGGAGTGAGTGATTGTTTTAGTGGCTGAATGGCTGAGTGATTGTTGGAGTGAGTGATTGTTTTAGTGGCTGAGTGATTGTTGGAGTGAGTGATTGTTTTAGTGGCTGAATGGCTGAGTGATTGTTGGAGTGAGTGATTGTTTTAGTGGCTGAATGGCTGAGTGATTGTTGGAGTGAGTGATTGTTTTAGTGGCTGAATGGCTGAGTGATTGTTGGGGTGAGTGATTGTTTTAGTGGCTGAAGCTGAGTGATTGTTGGAGTGAGTGATTGTTTTAGTGGCTGAATGGCTGAGTGATTGTTGGAGTGAGTGATTGTTTTAGTGGCTGAATGGCTGAGTGAGCGTTTGATTGTGTGATTTAATTGTAGAATGAATGGTTCCTTGAGTGATTGATTTAGTAGTTGCGTTTACATTCTAATGAGTGGTTGATATTTAACGCTGCTAGTTTAGTTTGGTCCCTGGTTGGTTGATAGGTTAGTTGAAAGAGCGTTCGTATGAGTGAGCTAAAATAATGGTTGGGTGATTGAAAGTGTTTTCGAGTAATCTTGTGGGTGATTTTTCGACCGGTTGAGTGATTGGTTGGGTAGATTCGTTGAGTAATTAGTTGAGTATCTTGTTGAGGCACAAAATGTCGTTGACTTGGTAGCTTTGGTGTGCACTTCCTGGTTTTAATCTTCATCTATATGACGGCTGGGGGTGGGGGGATTTCGTATGATATTGAAAGAAGCATGACATTATTTGAATATACAGTTTGGTGAATAGTCGTATGAACGCCCAAGTGTGTCGCTCGAGATATCCCAGATATGTAACGGTAATCTGGAGATAATCAAGGCTGGACAAGACAATCTAGTGATTGAATGGCTGAGTGATTGTTGGAGTGAGTGATTGTTTTAGTGGCTGAATGGCTGAGTGATTGTTGGAGTGAGTGATTGTTTTAGTGGCTGAATGGCTGAGCGATTGTTGGAGTGAGTGATTGTTTTAGTGGCTGAATGGCTGAGTGATTGTTGGAGTGAGTGATTGTTTTAGTGGCTGAGTGATTGTTGGAGTGAGTGATTGTTTTAGTGGCTGAATGGCTGAGTGATTGTTGGAGTGAGTGATTGTTTTAGTGGCTGAATGGCTGAGTGATTGTTCGAGTGAGTGATTGTTTTAGTGGCTGAATGGCTGAGTGATTGTTGGAGTGAGTGATTGTTTTAGTGGCTGAATGGCTGAGTGATTGTTCAAGTGAGTGATTGTTTTAGTGGCTGAGTGATTGTTGGAGTGAGTGATTGTTTTAGTGGCTGAATGGCTGAGTGATTGTTGGAGTGAGTGATTGTTTTAGTGGCTGAATGGCTGAGTGATTGTTGGAGTGAGTGATTGTTTTAGTGGCTGAATGGCTGAGGGATTGTTGGAGTGAGTGATTGTTTTAGTGGCTGAATGGCTGAGTGATTGTTTTAGTGGCTGAATGGCTGAGTGACAGTTCGAGTGAGTGATTTAGTGGCTGGACAAGACAATCTAGTGATTGATATCACGAGCATCGACCTACGCAACTCGGATTCGATGACACTGGGATAAGACCAAGACAGCGTGGCTGACCACCTTGATCTCGTTAGTCGCCCCTTACCGGATTACTCACGACAAACTCTAACCCGGATCTTTACGGTTCATACGTTAATGAACTTCACTATCGAAATTTTTTGACGGGTTCACAGCCTCTGATAAAGTCGAATATCGTGTGAGCTTCTCATTTACAAAAATACCTTTTGTCAATTTTTATACATGAACAAAACAGGTTGGTACAGTCTTAAGATGAAATACTGTGAACTACGGAGCTATTAAGACACTCCTTCAAAGCTGTGAAATTGGATCTGCGACTATTAGCAAGTCTAACAGGTTTAAACTGCTATCACCGAACAGCTGAAACTATATCTCTGTTCGTCACGAACTGTGATGATCTCGCCAGGGTAAATATGATACTTGCATCGTTATCACGTGACCTTCACCCAACTCATGAAACGCCCCCTAATCAGGGCGATGTGGCTTTCTGAGGATATGTGTGAAATGTGACTAATAGTAGTGTGGCGGTATAACTAATATATCAGGTGGGTCATTTTGGTGAAATTTATTTTTTGGCATTTATACATGTCTCTTGTTGCTAGACGCCGGCGAGTATTCTTGTAAGTGTTGAGTAAGGATATACAAAATACTAAATTCCGTTGACCGTTGACTATGCTTCAAATATCGCAATAGCCGCACATGACATGATGATATATTCCTCTTAAATTTCAGTGATTACACAAGTAGGCATAACTGTTTTATGTCATCAACTGTAGTAGTAAAATCACCATGCTAGATTTTTCTTTTTCAATTTGAAGTCATATTTTCTATTTTCAAATTCAAAGGAGTTGAACGGATCGGTAACGAAATGCTTAGATAAAAGTCTATAATATTATGAAAGTTGATCCTGAAAAGGTATGTACTATTTTGTGTGAAACATTTGCATGAAGAATATATCACTGCGTTGTACATGCTCGGACACCACTCCGATTGCTGTGACAACGCATGTGTTTTAACTTGTATATAGCTTGTTCATTGCCTGTCTGTCAACGCCACAGGTCGAAGTTCGAGGCATTGTCTTCTTCGCATCGCATGTGCTGTTACATAGCGTTACGATTATCACAATGTACCGTTAGGTAGACACGAATTAAGGGAGGCGCTCCAATATCTTAGTGGTTAAAGCGTTCGCTCGTTACGCTGCAGACCCGGGTTCGATTCCCCAAACGCGTACAATGTGTAAAGCTCATTTCGTGTGTCAAGAGACGATAGGTTATATGGATGAATAACTTCTTTATTGCAATGGGGCGGTGGGGTAGCTTAGTGGTTAAGGCGTTCGCTCGTCACACCAAAGACCCGACCCGAGTTCGATGTGTCTTCCTCCGTAGTATTTACTGTAATGGTTAAACATTGTACCGTTAGTTTCGAAAGCCGCCTGGGTGCTTCGTAACCTGACATTGACTTTGATAACTGCTGTAACGCAAGATACAGAACCAGACATACAGACTTGATAGGCTCGAGTGAGTGAGTGAGTGAGTGAGGTAGGTCCTTATACCGCTTTTGGCAACATGCCATAACACCATAAATCAACGCAAGATACCATATACCATATATAGAACCCTGGTCTTCTTGAACCACTGGGGCCAGTGGGGTATCCTAGTGGTTAAAGCGTTCGCTAAATATTGCTAAAAGCGGCGTAAAACCCAACTCACTCACTCTTTAAACACTGGGCCATCTACCACCTTTGTAAGACAAGATGTTTAAGGAATGTATAAATATGATTTTAAATGCCGTCCATCGATCAGACTAATATATATCCGATATGATCTGTAATAGATATGTGATATCCTATCCCCTATCTTATCAGGGTGTGTAACTGACGTATATGGTAAACACGTCTCGCTATTGCAGTGATCACGTCAGTGTAAGCGATTTGAATAACTCTGATTGTGTTTGTTATTTCAGTGTATATAATTCATAAGCTGAGTCGGATTAAACATGGATCCGAATTTTTCTAGAAAGAATGGTGAGTATGAGTGAAAACATACCTAAGGTGGAACCTCGTTAACATCAGTAATTTCCTCTTTATAAAACGTCCCAGATTATCAAACCTTGGCAGCGTCATTCCTGAATGTCGGGGGACAGATAAAACAAGGTTTCACAATTGTTTTACTTTTGTTTATAATAATGATAATTTCAAAACTAGACAATTCATTGTGTTAGGCGTTTTATCAACTGAAGATCAAGGTGAGCAGTGAAACTTCTATAGCTCGAACTCATTTCACTTGTTACTCGGCAATACTTCCTGGAGAGGGCGTTAAGAGTTGACTATCACCACTCTGATGTCGTCTCGGATGACGAGTTAATGAGGTCTCGCTTTGTCGACACATACACCATTAGTCTAACCACGTTGATGTAAACAAAGTACTGTCGGAAATTTAAAAAAAGCTTTTTTTCACATTCATCGCTACAATTTATGTAGTTAATATGTGAAAGCGTGAAATATCTGTTAAAGAAAGATCGGCCTAACTACAGTCTCAGTGGTAGGGAGATAGGAAACGTAAAAATAGGTCTTCACTGAGGAGAGATTAGTGCAGTAATGAGCAATGCGTTTTTTTTTCGAAGTCCAAAGCGTCTTATTTGGAATAGACCATGGCTTTATGCAAATTAGTATGCGATGATATTATATTACAAAACACATTTGTAAAAGCCCTCATTGAAGTTAGACTTAACTTCATTATAAACGATAATAAAAAATAATAACTTTATTACTGAAACTATTAGGAATGTACCTACCATGGAGTCTGGCCTCACTAAAAACAAACAAGTAAGAGGGGTCGTCTCAAAAGGGAAACCAGGACGGGTGTCGGGATATCAGCTAAGATAAGATGATCCTTTATGGGAATTAAACTGGGGAAATAAACGGCATGTCATAGAAATTTACAAATAATATCCAGTCCTGTCGATCTTCGGGTGGTCATGTCACCTATATATTTTGAGACATTTAATTCGATGGCTGATTTAAGCTTTTCTATGGGTATCATACTCTTTTACATATCTCAACATGTATTATTTATGAGTAATCATGCTTTTCTGGATATGCTATTACGCATCCCGTTGAACGCTCAGTTAGGCCGATGTGGGTTATTTCGACATATGATATTTGCAACTGTGTACATTTTAGGGATACATAATAACAGCCTATAAACAGTTTGTTTCTATTTCCGACAGTACTTTGGTTCTTAAACTGGCATGGTAGATGGCGGAGTTATTTAGAATCCCGAAACAAACATGCGTATGTGCTGCTTGCAACTCTGAAATGGGTGTACGACTCACCCTGTCTGCTACAATATACCCTGAACTGAGTGCACGACTCACCCTGTTGGCTATAATATACACTGACCTGAGTGCACGACTCACCCTGTCAGCTGTTATATACCTGACCTGAGTCCACGCAATCCTTCCGTTGTTGTGCAGGTATGTTTTGAATGTCATTTATGTAATCCAAACATGCCGTATGTTTAAAAATTTAACAATAAATTACTGTCCTCATTTTGGAAGTCACAATGCTTCCTTTCTCATGTTCAAATAATGTGTTCATTTGTTCAATAAATGGTATAATCCTGAGTTAATAATGGGTCTTCAGTTGAGTTGAGTTGAGTTGGGCTTTACGTCACATTGGCATTATTCCAGCCATATAGTGAAGCTTGTCGTACATAATGGTTGACACACGGAATGAAGTGATGAGGATTCCATTATTATGATGCATGTTATCGTTTCCCGCTTGCATTACTCGATGCTCATGATGTAAATCACTGCTTTATGTTGTTGAGACTCACGATACCCTGATAATGTTGGAATATAGGAATATTGCTTAAAAAGACCACCACCCCTATAGAATATATGAATAAAAGACCACCACCCCTATAGAATATATGAATAAAAGAACAGTTACTAAAAAAACAAAACAAAGACACCCCGAAAGGACCAAACATGCCAACATGTCTTAGTGCTACTTTTCTGAAGTTCACGTATGTGTTTTGCACAGTATTCATGTACCACGACAACCCGGGAGAGGGGCCTCTGCTGGTGACAGCCGTGAAGTATGTCGAGAAGAGCTGCAGCATCAACTTGAGCCATATTAAAGTCCGTGAAGTCCAGTACGCCAAGCCGCTGTTGGTGCTTTTCTGCCCAATAGTCAATAAGACTGACGTCGATGTCAACGCTCTTCTCGACAGCTCTAGAGGTATTGCATTAATTTTCTTCAATAATGTCGACATTTAAGGCTGACTGGAGTTGAAGATGGTTCGAGCAACAGTTCTGCTATACTTCCCACAAGATGTATACAGAAATGCTCAAGAGTTGAGGGCACTGGTTTGGGTAATGAATCTTAACATAAATTGGAAATGTGCACATTGATATGTTGAAATCTTTTCAAATAAATGTAGTTTTAGTACTTGCTTTAAATATCATCATCCTGTTTGGATGCCAATTACCATCGTCGTTTATTCCGACGATGTGATTGTAAATATTTCCTATTTCATTGACATGCGTACATTCCTATTGACAGACGGCGAAGATGTGCTTCTAGTGATGGTAAAACGAGCTGTGGAGCATTCAAAAAATAGAGACAGTTTGGATCATCTGAAGGACCCAATCTCAACCTCCACAAGAAACCGAGTCGGTGCTGCATGCACCATATTTTTTTCAGGTAAAGAGAAATTCAAAGGATATAAGAACGAAAACGGGCTAGCTGTGAACGAAGTAAAGCGAGTAGTAAACCTTTGTCTAGAACGTAAACCCTGGGCAACACATTTCCCAGTTGGCCAGAATGTAGATCGAGTTGACGGAGCGTCATCTGTAGCAGCTCACCAAAGTCCACAAAACGAGCCTCGTCCCATTCAATTTGTTCAGTCAACTCAGCCGGAACAACCTAAGCCAATCCAAGTTTTTCAGCCAATCCAACAGCCTCAGCATGTACGGTCAACACCTCATGTTCAACCTGCCCAACAGACTCAACCAATTCCACAGATTGTCCTCACTCCACCAAGTCAACCTGCTCCAGCAGTAGACCCTTTTCAACCTAGTCAACCTACAAAGGTAGTTGATCCGTTTCAGACTCAACCAACCCTGGCAAATGATCCGTTTCAGACAGCACGAGGTCAACTCCACCCAATCCGTTGATCCGTTTCTGGCAGGAGGAACTCAACCGACTGGTTCAGTAGATCCGTTTCTGGCAGCTGGAAGTCAACCGACTGGGGCAGTTAACCCGTTTCAGACAGCAGGAGCATCGGACAAGTTTGATGACTTCTTCGACCCCAGAGGGGATTCATCGACCAAAGCTTCGGGAGACCCATTTGCAGATGCTTTCAGTGCACCAACTCCGGAAGAGCCTACCAACTTAAATTTTCCTCAACCAAAACCTGTCCTAAAGGACGTTCGTAGCCCAGGTAATCTTTTGCTATGTGAAGTAATGGTTATATATATATATAGTACAACCTTGTTACAATGAAACAAGATGGTTTCACTCAAGTAGCAAACGTTTACTTTTTGTGAGTTTTATTCGAGACTGTTTCGATAGCAAGTATGAGACATGTCCAAACATATTATTTTACTTACAAGCACACCGGAATACCTGTCCTTTGCTCATTTTCAAAACATTTAAGGCTGAATGAATAGGGTTTACAAATCCATAACTTAATGACGATTCCATACTGCCAGGTCCTGATTGACCATGAGCCTTAATAGACTGAATCATTGGCAGAACTGGATATTTGAGGTCCATCATTAAAGAAGGAGTCTGTAACCAGTGTATCCCAATTGCATATCTAATATTTTCATCTGATGTTATGTGATATTATTTCAGTGTTCTACTTCTTTGACGACACCAGTCCCTTGGAACATGACACCGTACATTTCATAGAAGAACATGGCAACTTCCAGCTGAAGGCTTGTCGCCGCCAAACAGCCGCTGTGGTGTCGCCGTTGGTCGTGTTTAGTCCGTGCTACACCATGCCAGATGCAGACGCCAAGTCCGTCCTCGGACACAGTAGAGGTAAGGTCCATCAACAATACCTTGTCGGGAGCTGATAGATTATGGCGCCGGAATAGGCCCTCCTAAACCACTGGTCACGTGGGTTGACCTTGCAAACTGTGCCTTGGAGCTCCGACGGCGATCGGGTCATTGTCCTCTCGGTTTACCACTGGGTTGCCTGGCCCAGACCTCGGTATTTACTGGTCCGATGTAGACTGATCACTGACTGACTGACTGAGTTTGGTTTTACGCCGCTTTTAGCAATATTCCAGCAACATCACGGCGGGGGACACCAGAAGTGGGCTTCACACATTGTACCCATGTGGGGATTCGAACCCGGGTCTTCGGCGTGATGAGCCAACGCTTTAACCACTAGGCTACCCCACCGCCCCTTGTAGACTGATCAAAGCCGTGACAGGGATTTCACAGTCTCTTTGACGACACAGTTGTACCTTGCAAGACAATGCCATTACATTAAATAACGTTTTCAATATTGCTTAAGACAATCAAAAACGGATCTATGACATACAGATATGTCCGTTGTTGAAGAGAGTAAAAACAGATCAAGCAAGATGGAGATGTATAGCAATTTACAATAGTAAAGTTACTGGTGACAGTTGTAAACGTTCCATCGACCACCACAGTCCATTTGATACTTATGTCTATTAACCAAGATAAAGGAACTAGTTTTTGTTTATGTGCACGCAGTAATACAAAATACTTGTTTTCATTCCCAACGGCCAATGTTATATCCTGGTGTACAAATGGCTAAATTATCTCAATGAAACTGGTTACAAAGTATACCATACATCCATTTTGTCTTTCCCACAGATGGGGAAGACGTATTCTTGGTCATCGTGGAACCTGTGTACAGTCACAAACCCAAAAAGCAGGCATGTCTATCCGAGTCAGTACAGGCAAAGATAGGCTCGTATGGGGTGCTCTCGTATTCTCTGGATACTAAAACATATGAAACAACTAAAGCAAACATTGAAATGGTTACCAAGCTACGTGACTTCATTCAACAAATACAATCTCTAACTGAAGACGACGACGATGACGATGATGATGAAGAAGAAGAAGAAGCTCCTTCAAATATCCTTGTGCTTGAAGGATTTCATGAACTCGGCTTTGATGAATCGGACGCCTGATCCAAATGGACACTTACTACTGGAGCCATGTCTAATGTTGTACATCGTCGTACAAACAATCTCCGCGGGAAGCACTCGTAACATTTCCAGAATTAGTTCTCTCAGTGATGTAGAACTAACTCGACGATATTACATATTGAAAATAATAATGGAATGCTAAGATATTGATGAAAACAGTTCATCCCTTCTTGAATCGAACAATACTGATGGTATTCAGTTCAGTTCAATTGGCGATTCAGTTCTGATCCTATTTTAGTGGACAGGGTAGACTTAGAGAAAGAAATTTTATCGAAAATCCTCACGGTAGGATGGTGACATTGTGTCCCACACAACATCGTATATCTGAGTCGTGTTATCATGACATACATAGTGTTATCAGTGTGACATTGTCAATTCAAAAGTGTAAGTGTTTGTAAGTAACAAATGTCCAGTCAACAAAAAGCAAAAATGACCTCGCTTTCAAGCATATATTTTGGGGATCTATTCTTATTATCACTTGTTACATGCAAGCAAAGTTATACCATATAGTCTCATTACATACACATCCACATTACACCTCGATCCTCCACCACTCGGTCTTGATGCTGACGCGACTGGTTCGCTTCAGTCGCACAGGGCGCGGTCGCGATTCTAGCAACGTGAATCTGGAAACAATTACAGCTTCACCACCCTTTGATTATCATAGTATTACATCTTTATTATTAATGACAAATACCCGGGCCCCTTCCCCACCATACCATAGCGTGTTAGCATGTTCTCATGAACTTCCTCACGGCATTGTGGGTAATTTGACTGGACGGTTTCTTGCGTCGCTTCTCACTCGAAATAATACACTGAATAATCTGGAGTGAACTTTAACCAGCAGCGGTATGTGGTATCTTGTCCACTCGATCGCAGTACTGAAGGAACATTAGTTTTGAACAGGAGCGTACATATATATATATATATATAAAACATTTTTCATTGAATGTCATGGAGATTTGTATGTTTTTCGTATAAAGACGCACCAAGCAATATTTCAGCTATGTGAGGGCGGTGTCCAGATAACGTAGAGAGCAGACCAACAAGTGATTGATGTTATGACAGAAATCTACAAGCCCTCGTGTGAATGTCACGTTAAGAAGAATCTATGTACAGTTTTATTTATTCACCATGTTTATGAATTGAATGAATGGATGTATACAAGTTCATTGTCACATTGGCAATATTCCATCCAACTGCGATTAATTGTGTTAGCAAAGCCTTTATTCGTATGTATTTATTTTCAACAAAAACATATTGAGAATCCTATCAATAAACTTATACTTTTTGATTTCGAAAAATCTGCATTTGATTTTCATTCTACAGAGAGAGAGAGAGAGAGAGAGAGAGAGAGAGAGAGAGAGAGAGAGAGAGAAAGAGAGAGAGGAGAGAGAGAGGAGGAGGAGGAGGGGAGGAAGAGGAGAGGAGGTGCCCCCCCACCGAATTGTTTTCCCTGAGGAGCATTTCCCTCTAACCTTTGGACTTAATGATTTATGTGCACTCTCCTTCTCCAAAATACTGGATCTGCCCCTGAACTCACAGGGAGCACTGTTTTTCTTTTGCTAACCCTTGCTTGTTATATGCATTTCGACTAATATATACAGCAAGTGGACGCAACAAAAAAGCAAACAGTTCTTTATATCTGTCAGTTCATTATATGCATGCTCACTATCAACTTACGTTATTGTACAACTAGTGCCTATAATCCCATTTTAACCAGATGTCAAACATCAACAAGTTCTGATGCCATAGCTCCAGGGTACTTACATTGGAGATATAACTCTCTTTGTTGTCTAATAGGACTTTCCATATAAATCATTCTTTCAGTTAATATATATAATGGTCATCTGGTATGATTTTCCATAGGAGGTGAGAATGTATGCTGTAAGTAACATGTTGTGGTCCTCGGTTGCTCTAAGACATGAATTAGACACCTGATGGTCCCTCACCAGACTTTCCTTTCCCTAAGTTCATCCTCACTGCATCTGTTTAACCTCTTCAATGGGAAAACAAAGAAGAGGTTGAGAAACACATATTTTATCAAACCATGTCTCACAGAAAGCGGTCATATCTTCGATCACCAGTCACAACAAACAGCTTGCAACCAACATACATGCTTTTGGTCAAGAGCCCATTTGCGAATAAATAGGACACAAAGCTGTGCTGACAGCATACAATCAAGTCCAGCTCTTTCAAGTTTAATGTGTCTGTCAGAATACTGCTTCCTGTGGTTTGGTGCTGGCTGGCTAGTGTCTGGTTGTACAAGCTATGAAGTAGAAGATACCTCTTCTCTGCTAGAACCTTTGTGGTGGCCATTTTGACTTAAATATATATAAAAAGTCATCTGCATTGAACTTGTTATATGACATTTATAAAAAACAGATCATATTGTCAGTAACCTATTTGACATATCAACTCACAGCGGTATATTCAGCAAATAAATCACCTGGTAAACATCAATAAATATGCAAATGATGCATTGTCATAAGGATCATAAATCCACACATGTAATACACCATTAACACAGACTTTGGCACAGTCCTAGTGTGGTAAGTTCTGTCATGATGACGTATGGTCAATGTGCTGCAGAATACTCATGATTTGCTCCACAATTATATCACAGTGTGGTCGATGTACAATATGGCCTCCCCTTTCGAAAAACAGGACACGTGCCAGCCAGTCATCAACGAAACCTAGAAAGAGAAGGTTGAGAATAGGGCACACAAACACACATTCAGTGAAAATAGGCACTGAAGCTAGATGATTGACAATCTATTTGGATCCAAACTTTTGTATGCTTCATCATCATCCACAATTTTAAAAAATAGTATATATGCACTAAATGTTGGTAGTATACAACATGATTAACCTCAGCACAATTGTTGATATCGATGATGTGAAGATGTGTAATCGCTGGGGAAGGTTTTTTTATGGGAGCTCAAGATACTTGGTTTAACCGAGTATTAAAAGATTTACCAGTTTGGTGCAAAATACACACAGAGGTATCATGCTCACAAACCAAGAAGCAAAGTCAGGGTAAATATGAGACCAACACTGATGCCTAAATCATATATACTGAACCACAAAGAAATGTTGCACCGATAGCGGTTTCTTAAAGCACACACTTTAATTTATTCTAATTAACAATCAAAATGGAGGATTGAGTTCAAACTTGACCATTATGGTTAACACATTTTCGGGAATCACATTTAGAGTTCACACAAACACAATCACCAAAAATGGTACCATAAAGATACCCCAAAGTCAGTATCGTGTTTGGCCTCCATGGGCATTGATGAAAACATTGCATCGTCTGTACATGGAATGAATTAGCCGGTTGATGAAGGCCATAGGCATTTTGGTCCATACTCTGAAAAATGCCTGATCGAGTCCAGCCGCAGTTGTCGGCCTTGGTTGGTGGTCATTCAGTCTTCTTTGAATCTTGTCCCAAAGGTGTTCTATTGGACTTAAATCTGGGCTGAGTGCAGGCTGTTGTAGCGTTTAGATGTCATGTTGTCATAGGAGGTCCAATGTTGGTCTTGGCAGTGTGGGCATGAGCGTTGTCTTGCTAGAAGATGTGATTTTTGTAATGTCCAAAATGTGGTGCAATGTGGTCACTATAGCGAGCAGCTGTCACGTCATTTCCTCATCATGGACCGAGATGTCAACTAACTGGTTCAAACCGATTGCACCCCACACTATGATGCTTGGACCACCCCAAAAGTCTCTTTCAACAATACACTCATTGGAAAACAGTTCCCCACGCCTTTACCATAGTCTAACTCTGCCATTGACTTCGAAACACAATATTGGTTTTCATGAGATGAAAATACAGTTCTCCATTGTCGATAACGCCAATTTCAATGCTGAGTTGCCCATTGCAGTCGGTTTGGGCGGTGATGAGCAGTGAGGACAGGACTAAGATAGGGTCTGTTACAGCAGAAATTTCTTCCGCGCAAACATCAATGCACTGTATCGGCACTGATGGATCTGTTGTGCGTGCCAATGGTCTGGCGTGCTGTTTCCGTCACTCTGATGAAGCGATTTTGCAGATGGTGGTGCACAATCTGTCGGTCTTGATGTCGTGATGTTACTGAAGGTCGCCCACTGCATGGACGGTCTTGGATGCTGTTAGTGACCTCATACCACTCCTGCAGTCGGTAGAATGTCCTAACTTGAACATTAAACTGATTTGCTACCCTCGGTGCAGTCGGGACAACTTGCAATCGTCCCAAGACTTCGTTCCTCTGATCCCTCGTAAGTCACGGCATGGATATGGTGTCAAAACGAAAATGATTTCAGGCGAGTTTGTGACTCGCTGTCATTGGTAGGGTTGTCACGAAATACACGTGCATTTTCATTTTCATGAATGTCATACAGAACCTTCTACCATGTCTGCCTTTTTCGGTGCGTTTAATCGATATGCTCTTTCATCAGAAAACACACTGATGTTGGTAATAACTGTCAATTTGGATTGAAAATCATGTTAACAAAACAGTACAATCATAAAAGATACACCACCTTGTAAGAACAAAATTTTGCAATTGGTTTTGAAAGGCGACGTTTCTTTTGTGTTTCAGTATAGTATCCTTGATTATAAGGGAAACAACTACACACACCAATGTGCAGCATTTTAAAATGTACCACCAGTGCCAATGATCAGCACTTACAAGGTTAACTGAAATATAACTAAAATAGTAAATACAAATTCTGTATGAGGAAACTGAATGATAAGACAGTCTACCTTGGAAAGGGTCCTTGGATGGTACGCTGTTGTCATCATAATGTACTATGTTCTGCTGGGGGATGTGGAGATGCTTGGTGATGACCTCAAGTGGAATCTCCAACTCTACAATCTTGTCTTTGATTGTGTGGGCTATAAACAATGGTATCTTCTTCTTCCTTATTTTTTGGACATGGTTGGCTATCTACAATGTCAAAATTCATTGTCGTAAGTGTTATATGTACTGTTTGATTCAGTCAGGTTTTTTTGCAAGTGAATGAGTTGGGTTTTACTCCGCTTTTAGCAATATTCCAGCAATATCATGGAAGGGGGACACCAGAAATGGGCTTCACACATTGTACCCATGTGAGGAATAGAAATCGGGTCTTCTGTCAGGTAATACTTAAAATGCCAAGCAATCACTAAAAACGGTCTTCGAAGTCCCAGGTGATAGGTAATGTTTCAAGGAAAAGCCAAATAAGTAAAGACATACTTTGGCCTCATTTTTATTAAATTGTAACATTTATTGTTACTGGGAGATGAAATTAAACTTAAAAATGTTTGGAATTGTTATCACAATATACTAGATGGGCACATTTCACAGCCAGTTTGTGAAACACATTAAAGGGTCAGAAAGATGACTACATTTCCCAATTAATTCCATGACGAAACTGTATTTCATCTTTGTTGTTCAAGATGAGAAAATGCCCTTATAACATCAAATCGCTATGGGTGATGCAGCAGAGATTGCATATGAGTAAAAACGTTTTGGGACATCATACAGGTACCCACAGGATATAAAACAAAACAAAAGGAATTGCTCTAGATAAGTGTCCCTTTAAGTAGTCAAAAGGAAGAGACCCTCAGTGACATGCTGCTAGCCCTTGTTGTAATGGCTGAAACATCCTTGTTGTAATGGTTCTCATCACCATCTGATCTCTGAACCATTTCCCTATTAGAATCTCATACTATTCACCTGGTCTCATCCCTACCAGAATTACTCCCCCCAGTTTCATATCCACCAGAATTTATTCCCCTGGTCTCAGTTCTACCAGAATTTATTCCCCTGGTCTCAGTTCTACCAGAATTTAATCCCCTTCAGATTTATTACTGGTCCCTGTTTCATCTCCACCAGAATTTACTCCTCCCAGTTTCATATCCACCATGTTTCATTATTTACTCCTGTTTCATATCCACCAATATTTACTCCTCCCAGTTTCATATCCATCAGTATTTACTCCTCCCTGTTTCAGTTTCACCAGAATTTACTTCTCCCAGATTCATATCCACCAGTATTTACTCCTCCCTGCTTCATATCTGCCAGTATTTACTCCTCCCTGTTTCATATCCACCAGTATTTACTCCTCCCAGTTTCATATCCACCAGTATTTACTCCTCCCTGTTTCATATCCACCAGTAATTACTCCTCCCTGTTTCAGTCAAGAATTTACTCCTATCCACCAGAATTTACTCCTCCCAGTTTCATATCCACCAGTATTTACTCCTCCCTGTTTCATATCCACCAGTAATTACTCCTCCCTGTTTCAGTTCCATCAGAATTTACTCCTCTCAGTTTCAGCTCTGCCAGAATGTACTCTTAGAAGTTTCAAATCTACCAGAATTTACTAGTCCCAGTTTCAGATCTACCAGAATTGACTCCTCCCAGTTTCAGATCTACCAGAATTTACTCCTCCCTGTTTTACCTTACTCCCAGTTTCAGATCTACCAGAAGAATAGATCTACCAGAATTACACCTCCCATCTTCAGCTTTACCAGGACTGCCTCCTTGGTGTAGTGGTTAGAGCGTCCACCAGGAGAGCGGAAGGTTGCGGGTTTGATCCCTGGCCACGTCATACCAAAAGATGTTAAAATATGGTACTTGTTGGTTCCTGTCTGGCACTTGGCATTAATGGGTACAAAGGACTGGTTGGTTCAGAGTCAGTATAATGTGTCTGAGAGGGGTATTCATGCTTCACTGTAGCATGGTATCTCAGTGAGCTAGCACCCAAAAACCAGCTTTAAGTCTGGGCTAGTACAAGCAGCCACACATACACACACATGCACGTTGACATGAGCGAAATATTCTTAAGTATGACGTTAAACCCCACCTCACCTCACCTCATCATCTTTACCAGAATTTACTCATCACCTTCTTCACTATATCAACAATACTCAGCTCCATTGTTCTTTAGCTATTCCCATCTCAGCTTCAGTAGACACTCTCATCCCATTTTCAGCTCAGTTAGACAAACTCATCCCCTTCTCAGCATTTAACGAATCCATCTTATAATGGAAATTGAAATATGACAATGATGACAAGTTGAGGGGGGCAGAGTAAGATTTTAACAAGATATGTATCTGACGCTATAAGTAAGATATCAGTTCTACTTGTATCCAATCAGTCTACTCACATTGTGAAACTCTGGCCCTGCCAGCAAATGCTGGGATGCAACTAAATCAGTTCCTGCTTGAGCTCCGGAAAAACCTGAAATATAAAAATACTGCCTGTCATGATGTTCTCTTTTGAATCTCTGTCACCAGCACGACCAGCTGTAATGAAACATATGACTTGCTGGGTAACAACTTCTTGCTTACTGCATAGAGCGATGTTTTGGTGCAGATTTTCAGCTGGAAAAAGGTGTAAGAATCTACATCGTAGCTCCGCTCAATGCAATTAACAAAAGTAAAGTCGTAAAGTCATATGCTTTATTATTGACTCACCAACATCCAGAATGTTGATCAAGCAATTACCATCAGCTGTATCATTATTGATTATTCAAGAGTAACTGTTAGAGTAAATAGAGGATATTATGAGTGCCCATGTTGTACTATGTTTACGACACAAGTGCCTAAATGTTGGTATTTCCAGAGCGAGAGCGAGTGATATACTGATATTTAGGCACGAGTGTCGTAAGATAGTATGATATGGGCACAAACATAATATTCTGTTTTTTACCGAAGTCGTCAACTTGAGGAAAATAAACCCGAATCTACTTTAAAACATAGGCTGGCTACCTGCCATCGCTGCATGTAGAACGCAACGTGACAGAAGAAACGTGACGTCATAGCATTGTTCATGACGTCATGTCACCATGACAAAGTGATATTTTGCCCTAGTGCATTGTATGAAAAATATTTTCCCCAATATTAGATAATAAAGCAATATAAGATCTACACAACATATATGTGGCAGATACATTGTACATAGTAGACACAAGTCACTCGATAGTTTTATTGATATTTGTATATAAACAATCAGTTCTACAGCTGCAGGTCTATTGCTTCTTTTTTTTATTTTGACTACTCTATCAATAGGTCTGGTATTTTGACTACTCTATCAATAGGTCTGGTATTTTGACTACTCTCTCTATCAATAGGTCTGGTATTTTGACTACTCTATCAATAGGTCTGGTATTTTGACTACTCTATCAATAGGTCTGGTATTTTGACTACTCTCTCTATCAATAGGTCTGGTATTTTGACTACTCTCTCTATCAATAGGTCTGGTATTTTGACTACTCTATCAATAGGTATGGTATTTTGACTACTCTCCCTATCAATAGGTCTGGTATTTTGACTACTCTCTCCATCAATAGGTCTGGTATTTTGACTACTCTCTCCATCAATAGGTCTGGTATTTTGACTACTCTATCAATAGGTCTGGTATTTTGACTACTCTCTCTATCAATAGGTCTGGTATTTTGACTACTCTATCAATAGGTCTGGTATTTTGACTATTCTCTCTATCAATAGGTCTGGTATTTTGACTACTCTATCAATAGGTCTGGTATTTTGACTACTCTATCAATAGGTCTGGTATTTTGACTACTCTCTCTATCAATAGTTCTGGTATTTTGACTACTCTCTCTATCAATAGGTCTGGTATTTTGACTACTCTCTCTATCAATAGGTCTGGTATTTTGACTACTCTCTCTATCAATAGGTCTGGTATTTTGACTACTCTCTCTATCAATAGGTCTGGTATTTTGACTACTCTCTCTATCAATAGGTCTGGTATTTTGACTACTCTCTCTATCAATAGGTCTGGTATTTTGACTACTCTCTATCAATAGGTCTGGTATTTTGACTACTCTCTCCATCAATAGGTCTGGTATTTTGACTACTCTATCTATCAATAGGTCTGGTATTTTGACTACTCTATCAATAGGTCTGGTATTTTGACTACTCTATCAATAGGTCTGGTATTTTGACTAATCTCTCAATCAATAGGTCTGGTATTTTGACTACTCTATCAATAGGTCTGGTATTTTTACTACTCCGTCAATAGGTCTGGTATTTTTACTACTCTCTGTATCAATAGTTCTGGTATTTTGACTACTCTCTCTATCAATTGGTCTGGTATTTTGACTACTCTCTCTATCAATAGGTCTGGTATTTTGACTACTCTATCAATAGGTCTGGTATTTTGACTACTCTCTCTATCAATAGGTCTGGTATTTTGACTACTCTCTCTATCAATAGGTCTGGTATTTTGACTACTCCGTCAATAGGTCTGGTATTCTTACTACTCTCTCTATCAATAGTTCTGTTATTTTGACTACTCTCTCTATCAATAGGTCTGGTATTTTGACTACTCTCTATCAATAGGTCTGGTATTTTGACTACTCTATCAATAGGTCTGGTATTTTGACTAATCTCTCCATCAATAGGTCTGGTATTTTGACTACTCTATCAATAGGTCTGGTATTTTGACTACTCTATCAATAGGTCTGGTATTTTGACTACTCTCTCTATCAATAGGTCTGGTATTTTTACTACTCTCTCTATCAATAGGTCTGGTATTTTGACTACTCTCTCAATCAATAGGTCTGGTATTTTGACTACTCTCTCTATCAATAGGTCTGGTATTTTGACTACTCTCTCTATCAATAGGTCTGGTATTTTGACTACTCCGTCAATAGGTCTGGTATTTTGACTACTCTCTCTATCAATAGTTCTGGTATTTTGACTACTCTCTCTATCAATAGGTCTGGTATTTTGACTACTCTATCAATAGGTCTGGTATTTTGACTACTCTATCAATAGGTCTGGTATTTTGACTACTCTATCAATAGGTCTGGTATTTTGACTACTCTCCATCAATAGGTCTGGTATTTTGACTACTCTCTCCATCAATAGGTCTGGTATTTTGACTACTCTATCAATAGGTCTGGTATTTTGACTACTCTATCAATAGGTCTGGTATTTTGACTACTCTATCAATAGGTCTGGTATTTTGACTACTCTCTCTATCAATAGGTCTGGTATTTTGACTACTCTCTCCATCAATAGGTGTGGTATTTTGACTACTCTCTCCATCAATAGGTCTGGTATTTTGACTACTCACTCTATCAGTAGGTCTGGTATTTTGAATCAGACTAGTCTCATACTACTATTAGCTCTATAGCTAGTATAATTCTAGTTTAATTAAGGGTAGTTAGGTAGGGTTTACACATTATCATGTGGCCTGATTCAGTCAATGCTGACTGGCTTTCCCTTTTTTATTATTTCAGATTTGCACTTCACATGCACCCTTTGCACACCCATGAAGATCCGGGTTAGAATTGATCTTCAGTAATCCATGCTTGTCATAAGAGGTGACTAACGGGATCGGATGGTCAGACTTGCTGACTTGGTTGACACATGTCATCATATCCCAATAGATCGATGCTCATGCTCTGGATCACTAGATTGTCTGGTCCAGACTTGATTATTTACAGATCGCCGAAAATAGCGGAATATTGCTGCGGCAATCTAACTTATCTCACCCACTCATCCTTTGCACAAGCAAGATGTTTTCTGTAGATTTTGAAGTCAGCCTCTTAAACTTGGCTGTAGTTAGGTACCCTTGGTTATCAGGCTTGATAGGGTTGTAACATCTGCACCATAAACGGGGTAGGTGGGTGGGTTGGGGTTTGTTAGACTAAATGTTCTTTGCCTGTAACAAGTGTCTTGGACTTTATTATATCAATGCACTAACCCGGTTAGATGTAAATAGCAGTTAAAGTGTTTGCTTAGCATGCAAAATATCTATATTCAATTCCCCACATGTGTACAACGTGTGAAACCCTTTTTCTGGTGTCCCCCGTCATTATATTGCTGTAATATTTCAAAAAGCATGAGTATGCTATTAGTAAACCATATTGTACATGTCAATCAGGTCTAAACAATAAACCAGTGTTAACTTACCAAGGTTTTTGTATAATCTACTCAACAGAGGCAGTGTTACAGGATGCAGAGTTTCAACACGAAGCAGAGAGGACATGGCCCTCACCACGAAGTGGGGACGGATTGTTCTGTTGCAGAAATAAAACAGAATATATCAATAAAAAATGCACAAACTCATACACTTGATTCCTATTAAGCAACCACAAACACAGCTTTAGGGAGAAGAGTGTGTACTTAAAATATAACAATAGTACTCCAATGACACTAATGGTCACACGCGACTTAGTTCTGGTTTTGGAAAATGAAAAAGCTGATTGTGTAGTGATTTTGTAGGTTATGGGCTTATCCCCAGCAATTTTGCCCTTTATTCTACTGCCAAAAGGTACTTGTTATTTTGGAGTATGAGAGGAGTAGGACTGTGTGAGGAGTTGGAATGTGTGAGGAGTTGGACTGGGCGAGGAGTTGAAAAGTGTGGAGGAGTTGGTCTGTGTGAGGAGTTGGACTGGGTAAGGAATCAGACAGGGTGAACAAAATTGGACTGGGCGAGGAGTTGGACTGTGTGAGGAGTTGGACTGTGTGAGAGTTGGACTGTGTGAGGAGTTGGACTGGGCAAGGAGTTGGACTGTTTGAGGAGTTGGACTGAGGAGTTGGACTGGGTGAGGAGTTGGACTGTGAGGAGTTGGACTGTGTGAGGAGGAGTGAGGAGTTGGACTGTGTGAGGAGTTGGACTGGGCAAGGAGTTGGACTGTGTGAGGAGTTGGACTGTGTGAGGAGTTGGACTGTGTGAGGAGTTGGACTGTTTGAGGAGTTGGACTGTGTGAGGAGTTGGACTGTGTGAGGAGTTGGACTGTGTGAGGAGTTGGACTGTGTGAGGAGTTGGACTGTGTGAGGAGTTGGACTGTTTGAGGAGTTGGACTGTGTGAGGAGTTGGACTGTGTGAGGAGTTGGACTGTGTGAGGAGTTGGACTGTGCAAGGAGTTGGACTGTGTGAGGAGTTGGACTGGGCAAGGAGTTGGACTGTGTGAGGAGGAGGTGGGACTGTGAGGAGTGGACTGTGTGAGGAGTTGGACTGGGCGAGGAGAGTTGGACTGTGTGAGTGGAGTTGAGTTGGACTGTGTGAGTTGGAGTTGGACTGTGTGAGGAGTTGGACTGAGGAGTTGGACTGTGTGAGGAGTTGGACTGTGTGAGGAGTTGGACTGGACTGTGTGAGGAGTTGGACTGTGTGAGGAGTTGGACTGTGTGAGGAGTTGGACTGTGTGAGGAGTTGGACTGTGTGAGGAGTTGGACTGTGTGAGGAGTTGGACTGAGGTGAGGAGTTGGACTGTGTGAGGAGTGGACTGTGTGGAGGAGAGTTGACTGTGTGAGGAGTTGGACTGTGTGACTGTGTGGAGTTGGACTGGGCTGAGTCTGGTGTGAGGAGTTGGACTGTGTGAGGAGTTGGACTGTGTGAGGAGTTGGACTGTGTGAGGGAGTTGGACTGTGTGAGGAGCTTGGAGTTGGACTGTTTGGGACTGTTTGAGGAGTTGGACTGTTTGAGGAGTTGGACTGTGTGAGGAGTTGGACTGTGTGAGGAGTTGGACTGTGTGAGGAGTTGGACTGTGTTGAGGAGTTGGACTGTGTGAGGAGTTGGACTGTTGAGGAGTTGGACTGTGTGAGGAGTTGGACTTGGACTGGGCAAGGAGTTGGACTGTGTGAGGAGTTGGACTGTGTGAGGAGTTGGACTGTGTGAGGAGTTGGACTGGGCAAAGAGTTGGACTGTGTGAGGAGTTGGACTGGGCAAGGAGTTGGACTGAGTTGAGGACTGGACTGTGTGAGGAGTTGGACTTGGGCAGTTGGACTGTGTGAGGAGTTGGACTGGGTGAGGAGTTGGACTGTTTGAGGAGTTGGACTGTGAGGAGTTGGACTGTGTGAGGAGTTGGACTGTGTGAGGAGTTGGACTGTTTGAGGAGTTGGACTGTGTGAGGAGTTGGAGGAGTTGGTGGAGGAGTTGGACTGGGTGAGGAGTTGGACTGTTTGAGGAGTTGGACTGTTGGACTGTTTGAGGAGTTGGACTGTGTGAGGAGTTGGACTGTGTGAGGAGTTGGACTGTGTGAGGAGTTGGACTGTGTGAGGAGTTGGACTGTGTGAGGAGTTGGACTGTGTGAGGAGTTGGACTGTGTGAGGAGTTGGACTGTGTGAGGAGTTGGACTGTGTGACTGTGTGAGGAGTTGGACTGTGTGAGGAGTTGGACTGTGTGAGGAGTTGGACTGTGAGGAGTTGGACTGTGTGAGGAGTTGGACTGGGCAAGGAGTTGGACTGTGTGAGGAGTTGGACTGTGTGAGGAGTTGGACTGTGTGAGGAGTTGGACTGTGTGAGGAGTTGGACATTGGACTGTGTGAGGAGTTGGACAGATGACTTGCACAGGGTGAGGAGATTAACTGAGGTGACAGATAGGGGTGAAACAGTATGCCCTTACCACGGTATGGTACATATTGCAGTACAAAGCCTTCGGTTCAGTCTGTTTTGGTTCGGTATATGAGATATGATCATAATGCAGAAAAGAAAAGAAACACATAGATTTTGACAAAATGATTTGATTTCTAGACATGTTAAAAAAGGTTAAAAAGGTTAATAAAATGACAGTATGCAAACCCAAAATACCAATTTGTTTTATTGCAATACGGTATATCTAACCAAAGGCAATATACTGCAGTTCTACTAATACCCTATTAACCCTAGTGTCACCCCTAGTGTCAGACCTATGAGGGTTTACTCCCACAGGGCTCAGGAAGCCAGCAGATCTGAAAGTGTCCCATTCAGCCAGTAGCTTGTAGCACAGCCAGGATCCAGCACTGTGGGTCAACAGCATATCCACTCTGAAACAACCAAACAAGTTCCTTATATTGATCAATTGTCCAAATAATATCTGGCAAAGTATGTTGCTGAACCTGAAAGAATTGCCCTTTTCATGGTACCTCCAATTTGATTGATTGATTCTTTGAATAAAACTGGACCTGCTGAAATCTGTTCTTGCATGGAAATAAAAGTGAAACAAGAATAAAGGAGAACAAAAGGTAAATTGGAGAAGATCTGTCTTTCTCTTTGATGTCTTTTGCCCCTTGATGTCAATTGGAATGTGATTCCAAAGTGTGAAACATTAGCAAAACATTTGATTCCACATGGTTTTGGAATATGAACGATCTGATTGTTACTGACCAGAGAGACCAGACTGGTTGATGGTGCTGTACCAGCATCTGAATAAGCTGATTTGGGTATTGGAGGTGGAGACCGAAGAAGATTTTCTCTAAAGACATGAATGGTTCTGTCAAACACTTCCAATCTGATCTGACCCTCCTGATTGATTGTGTGATCCTATCATCACTCCCTAGTCGATTGCAAATCCAGTCAATCATTTTGATGATCTCCATGGTGAATGTTCGATCCCATCGAATGCTCCAAATCTCCCAGAATGGTCATATTCTTAGAACAGCAATCATCCTCTTGATCACCTGTGATCAAAAGTGATCGTCTCCTTGGTCAATTGCAGATTCTGTCAAATGTTCTTATGATCTCAAAATGAATTTTCTGATCCGATTGACAACACCCCAGTAAAAGTCTCAAATGTTTACACGATCGTGAAGTTGATCGTCTGATCATTTTGATCGCTCCCTAGTCATCTGCAAATCCTGCTGAACATTCATACAACCTCAAGTGAGATTTTCCTCCAACTAATCGCTCCCTAACTGATTGCATATTCTATGGATTATTAAGAAATCCCTATCAGGGTTCGAAATACCCCATATACTAGTGTGCCATGGCACGGTAAATACAGAAATGGCACGGCTAAAAAATGTTCTCGGTGCCCTTTTGACATGCCTAATTTTTTAAGAGACACATAACTAACATTTAGTCATTTAATCCCCCAAACAATATTTTTTTTTCCAAATTGAATAATACCATACATATTTGAATGCTCATAAACCCATTTCTTTATTTAACAATAAATTTCAAATGATCATCATCATTGTCATTTATTCTAAAAACATGTGGGCATACTCGATTTCAGAAAGGCACACCTAAAATATTTGTCTGGTGCCCTAAGGAGAATGTCAAATCATGTCAATTTCTGTATAATGATCTGCCTGATCGTTCCTCCAATGATTGTCTGATGCTGACCAACCACATATATAAGTCTTCCTTGTTTCACTGTCCTGATGTCCACCTTGAAGGTTGAACAAATGTGTCACTACCTTGGAGGGATGCGTCTTTGCTTTCCATCATCCCTATTGGACGGTTTAAATTTAGGTAGAAGTGGAACATCTTCAGACTCAGCATGATACACAAATCTTAAACTGACCCAAGAGGTCAAATCTCTATAAAAGCTGGTCCAGATGATGGTGGAGTGCAGTTTGGGAAGAGGATGGATCTAATGGGTCTGTTTCTTGAACAAGAAGGGGCACCTGCTAAACTCTTCCTCACTTTGAAGGAACTACAAGTAAGTTCCTCAGCAGTTACAAAAGCCACTGTGACATTTAGAGACAAAAATAGTTGCTCCAGCAAGAGTAAACTTTCCTTTTCTAACTATTCATATTAACAGTAAAATCTTTGTGTAAACAGAAATCTATTAAGATTGTAAATTCCAATTCAAAGGATACACTTTATATATTGATGAATTCTCTCTCTGTAACTAAATGTCTTCACTCAGTCATGATAGACAAGAGAATGACTAAATTAGGGAAGGCACAGTGCCTACCCAGGCTGCCACTGTAATGACATCCCTAGGACAGGCATCAATAAAGTGCTTCACACACTATACTGATGTTGTCAGTCACACCAGGGCATGAGGAACTGTCACCCCATCAGGGATTTATCTGCAGCTGTCAGAGACTTAGTTTGTTGCAAATCATGGAAATATCAGTCAATATTTCTCTTTACTATTATCATTATACAGGGTCAGTCATAACTAATGTTAGGGCTTTGCAGAGGCAGCCTGCATTTCACTGATGACAAATAAAGAAGCCTTTAGGCATATTTTTACATTACTACCTTTAATGTTACATTACCATTGCATTTCCGACAATAATAACTATTAACATCTCATTTTGTGTACAAAGTAATATTGTATTTCTGAATTGCCACTTATCATGGAATCTAAGATGAATTCCTGCCTTAATAAAGATGAAAACATTACTTTGTTGCAGTCAAGGACCGGATAATGTCACAGTAACATGTTCTGCTGTCCAGGTTGTTTTCATTAAGATTATTGCTAATACACTGACATTTCTGAAAGAGAGCAAAATAGTTCCTTTATTGTTTTATTCATTCCCTTGCTTTGCTTTAATTTATCAAGAAAGAAACATGTATTGGCCAATCTAAACTTAAACAAAGTAAAAGATTAAGTGATGATTTTCTTTCATATACAGTTCCTTAATATGTTTGACATGGTTGATACACCTTGGTCACTATAGTCTGTTTGCAGTGAAAACGTACCGATGAATTTCACTTTCAACAAAAATGTAAATCAAATAAAGTGAAATTTAGATTGCGAATCCTCATAACTTTACCTTGCCATTTGAACATTTAAAACTCAAAATTTTATTCACCTTAGGATACAAGTTGTTTAACAAACAAGTTTCAAATTGCTATTATTGGTTTTTATTACAAGGGGTATACGCCTTTGTAATACAAACCAATAATAGCAATTTGAAACTATGATCGTTTGTTAGACAACTTTTATCCTAATAAAATAAATTTTTGTTTAGCTTGAAGTAAGAGGAAATCCAAAAGTAATGTATTTGTTTAAAATCTAACACATTTGTGAAACAAACCATGAAAGATAATCAGGGTGGTTAAGGGATTTGAACATCAAGCCAAGGGTTTCAGCATGTCTGAAAGAAACACTGTGTTGCAGCCACTGTGACACCCGGTCACCTGGGCCCATTATTACTAGAAACCAGCAAATATATTTACAAGAATAATAAGGAGAGAGTTACCTGTGAATACCCACAGTCTCTAATATTGTTTTGAGGGTGAGAGCTCTGCCTTGAGTTGTGAAGTCAAAGTGATTCAGCTTCCATGTTTCAAGCATACTTCCTTGAAATCCTGAAACAAGATATTCGTTGGCTTTATTCTGCCATGACACCTACCCATTATCGCAACAAATCACATTATCCATTAATAATTTGTTAGACAAATGTATTGATGATTGCAGCCTAGATTTATGATAAGGATTTTGCCCACATGGTAAACTTTCATTGAAATGACTGCTGTAACAATTTCAGTCTACAAGTGCATCTACCTTATCTTTGGAGCTGCGGGGTAGCCTAGCGGTTAAAGCACTTGCCAGTCACACAGAGGGTCTGAGTTCAATCCCCAATAGTATAACGTGTGAAGCTCATTTCTGGTGTTCCCCACTAGAAAACAATATTTACAAGGAAGGAAACAAGGATAAGGAATCAGTACTAAAACTTAAGTTGCATCAGTATCATATGAAACATGTATCAAGTTTTATCAACATTTTCAAATCAAGGCATGACAGTTCATAGACAACATCTTCATTGTTTGTAATAACGGTTCAAGGCCCCGTTCCTCAAAATGATCGTTCTAAGATGATCGTAACTCCCATACTTTAACATAGACTTACGACTGTCGTAGCGCTACGATCGCTTTGAGGAACGGAGCCCAGGGCAACGTCTTTATCCTTCATCAGGTGAATAATGAGTAAACATATGGAGTACAAACATGCTGATGTAGGAGAGTGTGGAGTCATTCTCAAATATGACATCCTTACCTTGTCAGCTTGCAATTGATAATGGGGTTAATCTCTTTCGTTCTGTGAGAAAGGCATCCGACTTCAGATCTAAAAGTCAGTGTTTTGAATTCCAGCACAACAGTTGGAAATAGTATGGCCGCAACACTTATGGTCAGTTTTCACCTGAATCCATAAAAGTGTCTCAATGTTCTTCAAACGTCTTAATGGGGTGTGGGGGTAGCCTAATGGTTAAAGAGTTGGCTCGTCACGCCGAAGACCCGAGTTCGATTCCCCACATGGGTACAATGTGTGAAGCCCATTTCTGGTGTCCCCCGCCATGATGTTGCTGGAATATTGCTAAAAGCGGCGTAAAACCAAACTCAGTCAGTCAGTCAGTCAAACGTCTTAATACGTGTTAAACTTAAATATTTGTAGAACATGTACCTGGAAATGTTGGTGCAACAACACGGATTCCTCTCTTGTGTAGCTGAGAAATGAGCGGCTCGAAGTCCTCTCCTTGTCCCTGCAGTCCGTGGATTCCTAACACAATCGGCTTGTCCGTCGCTCCACGGTGGGTGTCAATAACATTCACTGTACATTCAATGTCAGTGGCACCATCAAGCACACTCTTCTGGTGTATTTGATACTTGTGGTACCAGCTTGAGGGCAGTGACGATGTACACATTGGTCTGTTCCTGACACATGATACTGAGATACCTTGCAGTTTCGAGGAAAGTGGATAATTGAGACTGCTGGCTCTTTCTTGGCGACATCTCAAGTTTATTTGATGAAAACACATTTTGTGCCTTGCAGCTGACCTTATCAAATGATTTGCCATTTCTTGGATACCAACACTTCCAGAAACCTATACCTGCTTAATGTAGATAATGGCTTTAGGACAACAAGCGTGATCTTCTTTATGTTCTTTATTCCTGAAAAAGTGAAACAAACACATGATTCTTGCTTCCAACAATTTGAGTAGATCTTACTGCTATATATATTTTACTCAACATGCTCCATTATCTGCTAGTGTATATGGCCATGATGACACGAATAAGCTTAAATATGCCTCAAATTTGCATACTTGAAAACAAATATGATCATATATATGATATATGTTTTAAATATTGCTGCCTAACTTACGGATAAGTAGCTGTTGTTAAATCCACCTGATTATCAGGGCAGTTATGATTCGCTCACGTAATCAGTGAATCAAATCGTATCCTTCCAGGAATTCAATTTGTTACTCACAAAGACTAGAATAGAATATTCCTGACTTTTTGAAAAGGAGTGTTTATACTTAAATTTTTGGTGTTATTTATCAAAATGCACACAATGGAATACATCCAAGCCAGGCCAGATAATACTCTTATGTATATAATTTGGCAAAATGTGATCACTGATTATTGTCATGATAAATCAACCTTGTCAACATAGTCAAAACATGTCAGATCATTATTTCACTGAATAACATGAATAGTACATCAACAGTTCACTATCATTCGTACCCCAATATTTGAGATACATGTCGTATTCGACTCAGGGTGGAAACTTTGCAGCCCTACTCATTATCTCCAAAGGAAGCACTACAGTAAACCTACACTAACACCTGGATCTATTTCTATGGTTCTTTTCTTTTTTTGTAATTAATATTTTATTTCTGAATCTCTGTTACATGCAGAACCAGACATAAAACTGAAACTGACATTAGGTAGAAAACTAAAACTGAATGAAACTAAAACAGAGGTTCTCCTTGTTGGGAAACCAAAGAGCTTGGAGAAATTTAACATCGATAATGTGAAGATTGGTTCAGCTAACATCACACCGTCAGCTTTGATAAAAGATCTTGGTGCTTATATTGATTCGGGCCTGTCTCTAGATTCGCATGTGGATAAGTTGTGTCATACCTGCTATTACCACCTCAGACTCATTGGGACGATTAGGAAGCACATCACAATGGAAAGTGCCCACACTCTTGTGAGATGCCTTGTAACATCCAGATTGGATTACTGTAATAGCCTTCTATACGGACTCACCAACGGACATCTCAATAAACTACAAAAGTCCAAAATACAGCAGCACGTATTATATCCCTTACCACTAAGCGAGACCATATCACCCCTGTACTCTCATCATTACACTGGCTTCCAATCAAGTTCGGATTGACTTCAAACTTCTTTGCATTGTGTATAAATGTTTGCATAATCAAGCTCCTTCATATCTCTCTGAACTTCTCACTGTGTACTCCCCTACCAGAACTCTCAGATCTCAAGACCAATGTCTTCTCTCCGTTCCCAAAGTTCTCCTTTCTTCTTTTGGCAAGAGGTCTATCCAGTATGCTGGCCTACTCTGTGGAATTCTCTCCCTCTCCACATAAAGCAGTCATGCACATTGGAAACTTTCAAAATTAAGTTGAAGACTTTCTTTTTTTCCAAAGCCTATCCCTAAAATCAATCTTTCTGTCATCAATTTCAATGTATATTTATTTTGCTATTTTATCCTCTGTATGCATTGTATGTATGCTTTTATGTAGCGCCTTGAGCATGTATCAGTGGGTGGAAAATGGCGCGCTAAAAATATCTATTATTATTATTAGTTCATTGTACAACATCCACTTAGTATAGAACTTAACTTAATCTAAATGTAATGTAGCACATGCATTCAAGATAAAATAATAACAGTTTGCACCCTTCTTAACTGACAACAGTTTCCTGATATCATAAAGTTGGGCAAAAGATGTGGGTTTACTTATTTTCTACTATTACTATGGTTCTTGTGATGACAGAGTACCTGGCATGGGGGTAAGCAGGATATGCATTTCCATGATTGAATTAAAATTAATCATTCTCAGATTCCATTTAGATATGGACTTAACAAAATGCTACTGCTGGTAGAAGAGGGCTGTCAGTGTTACGTGAAGCATTTACTGAGTATTGTAGTTCTTAATGATTATACATGGAATACATTTTAAAAATAATTAATAAATTTTAAGTTAGGTACCAAATTATAAGATAGCATTTATTCCTAAACATGCATACACATCATCTCAAGGTGTAAGGTAGCCCAGAGGTCAAAGCATTAATTAACTTATCACACCGCAGGCCTGGGTATAGCTTGACTTCAGTGTTTGGAGTTTACTTCAAAATCTCACGGTTTAGTGAGTTTAAACTACTATGTTACAGTACGTAGAATGACTTTTTAACTTCTTGCTACGAATGGGGTTCAAAGTCCACATGTGACTAAGATTGCCTATCCCTGTGAACTTCAAGACCACCAGAACGTTAAGTAATAGACCACTGGCATGAGATGAATCGTAGAACAACAGTAATCAAAATACGCACCCGATCTATACAGACCTAAACCTTCTTCTCATCGTGTTAACACGAAAACAGCAAACACATGGGTGACAGTGCAGACGACATGACTTGTGTTTACCTTTGATTCCTTACAACGACTTAGACGCCGCTATCTGCTACATGTAATGTACAGAGTTTCTATAACATTACCTCCCCCTTACTCCATACTCCGGCGCCATTGGCTAATTTGCTTATCACTTGACTCTTGTCTCTTTGTTTGTAAACGAACGTGCTTTTCTAAAACCCATAACAGACCGCAAGCCGCTATGTGCACAGAAAATATTGTTTGACATAATTATATAGGTGTGCACCAGTACAACTGCACCTGTGAGATGCCAAATCATCACCTCACTTTCCATACGGGAAATAAAATGTTGAGTCATCACTGCGCTTTGGGCAACATATACTATCGCCTACGAACAACCATTTCTTGTTTGTGTATTTTTTTATCGCCGTCAGACGTGTAGTGTATAGAGGATTATATGTTATTTAATTATCCATGTTAAACATGATGTGTGTTTATTCTCATCGCAGATCTCCATCATTTATGATCGATCGTGAATAAACAGTCATCTGTAAAAAGTATTGCCTACTTATGATGGAGATCACTTTAAAATGTTCTATATTTTCATTGCAAGGTCTGGTGGATTAGATTCTATCGCTGGTATTCGCGTGTATTTGTTTAAATAACCCGCCTCTCGAGCTCGTCTCTTAGCAGTAGCACGTGCTTGATGCCCTGGAGAAAGCAAGGTATTTTGTCCTTGGATGTAGTGATTTGACCATTGCAGTTGACCACAAACCTCTACTGCAGATGTTTGGGGATCGATCGCTTGAATGCATCTCGAATGCTCGACTACGTAACCTGAAGGAAAAGACCTTGCGGTACAAATTCCACATGGTTCACGTCCCTGGAGCCAAACACAGAGCTGCTGATGCTGTATCTCGTCACCCAACTGGTAACCCTGAGAGGATAGTTCTAGTGGATGATATTGCAGCCATGGACTGTACTGAACTTTCCCCTTCTCTGGATATTTGCCATAACATCCTCGCCTCCATCAGATGCAGTGAAGAGCCTGACTACAGTGTAGAGGATGCCACTTTCCAGTCTGCTGCGTCTGCAATTAGCTCCTTGGAACCCATCACGTGGAACAAGGTGAAAGTTGCCACCACTAGCGATGTATCCATGGCCAAACTCGTTGACCTTATTGAAACTGCCAGAATCCCGCCTTGAACTTCCTACTGCACTACGTGAATATCCTCAGTTCAGAGAGCATCTCCACACGGTAGACGCTATACAAGGACCGGATTGTGATCCCACCAGCACTACGTGAAGATGCCCTTACGTATACTGACCTCCATTCTGCACACCAAGGCGTCTCATCAATGATGTCCAGAGCTAAAGCATCTATCTTCTGGCCCGGACTCACACTGGCCGTCACAATCGTCCGAACCAACTGTGCTCACTCCAATCGGATAGCTCCATCACAACCATCAGTCCCACCAACACCACTAGTATACCCATCCTACCCCTTCCAATGTCTATGCGCTAACTTCTTTCATTGCAAGAGTGTCAACTACCTGGTGCTGGTCGACAGATACTCCAACTGGCCGATAGTGGAGAGAACTGCTGGAGGTGCACCTGGACTCATCGAGTGCTTGCGACTCACATTTGTCACATTTGGCATACCTGATGAACTTTCCTCTGATGGGGGACCCGAATTCACAGCCTCTGCAACCAGAGTTCCTTCACACATGGTCAGTACATCATCGCCTATCTTCTGTCGCATTCCCCCACAGCAACTGCAGAGCAGAAATTGGCGCGAAGACAGTCAGACGCATGATCATTGACAACACTGGACCCCGGGGTGAACTTGACACGGATGCTTTCCAGCGGGCAATGCTTCAGTACAGGAACATCCCAGACAGAGACACAAAGTTATCTCCTGCTATGTGTGTTTTTGGCAGAGCCATAAAGTACTTCATCCCTATCCTACCCGGCCGGTACAAACCTCATGAGACATGGAGCGATACACTATTACTGAGGGAGGAGGCACTCAGAAACCGACATATGAAGATGGCAGAACGTCTCACTCTGCACACCAAACAGCTCCCACCTCTCGCAGTTGGTGACTTTGTCAGAATCCAGAATCAGACAGGGCCCCACCCGCTCAAAAGGGACAAAACAGGATGTGCGGTCGAAGTTCGTCAATTCGACCAGTATGTTGTACGGGTAGACGGATCAGGTAGAGTGATCCTACGCAATCGGAAGTTTCTGAGGAAGTACATGCCTGCTTGCCAACCTCCATCCAGACGCTCAATCGCTGAAGACTTGCCAAGGCCACAAACATCTACCCTTGACAATACCACCACCCATACTACATCCACGTCCGGCTCAGTCAACATCAGAACACTTGACCACACCTACAACAGTCTCTACCGGTGACGAACAACGCACTCCGCATCAACAGCCACTGCCATCCAGACCAGCTGCTACGCCTGATGTCTCACAATCCACACCACCCTCACCTGATAGATCCCGTCCACTCTGTCCTGTGATCAGAGAACCCACTATCCTGACAGAGTCACCAAGCATCGACCCTTCACCGACCCTAACAGGAGACACAAGTGTGATCCACCCACGACGCTCTACCCGCACCAAGAAAAAGCCGAACTGGCTGTCTGATTACGTACATATGATTGAGTCAGAATACACCCTGGGACAAAGCACAGTCTACCCAGTGAAAGCCCTGAATGTTTTATTGCCAGTTTCTCTCTTTATTTCAGTTTGTTCCAAACGTTTAGACTTTTTCCAATGACTTGAGGACAATTCAAGACATTATGCTTCATTTAACTCAAACCTGAGTTCTAGAACTGTTTCTTTCAGTCCTTGCCACAACTTTGTCATGATCCGACAATGACTTGGGGAGGGATAGAGGATTATATGTTATTTAATTATCCATGTTATACATGATGTGTTTACTCTCATTGCAGATCTCCATCATTTATGATCCATCGTGAATATACAGTCATCTGTAAAAGGTATTGCCTACTTATTTAGTGTATGCTTTCCTGGGTTGAGGGGTTGTCCAACTGTGAAAGGCGCCGCAATTCAAAGTGCAGAGTTGCGTCCCTTTGGTACGCCAGAAACCTATGGTCGTGAGTTCGAATCCCTGAATTGCCGGTCACTTAACCTTGCTCGTTGCCTTCATCAGAATGGCAAACATCAGACACATGCATAACTTCGGCTTTCCTCACATTAAATTACATTTTACTGGAATACTGTTAAAGGCAGCAACACTGACTCACTCATATTATTCCATATATGTGTGTGTGTGTGTGTGTGTGTGTGTGTGTGTGTGTGTGTGTGTGTGTTTGTGTGTGTGTGTGTGTGTGTGTGCCTAGTGGTTAAAGCGCTGGCTAGTCGCGCCGAAAATCCGGTTTCGATTCCCCACATGAGTACAATGTTTGAAGCATATTTCTGTCCCCCGACGTCATATTGCTGAATAAAACCATACTCACTCACTATTCCACATATCGTAAGTCCATATAACGTCATAGAATACGGGGTGGTGGGGTATCCCAGTGATTAAATCGTTCGCTCGTTACGCTGAAGACCGGTTCAATTTGACATGTGCGAAGCCCATTTTTGGTTTCCCCTGTCGTGATATTGCTTGAATATTGCTAAAACTATCATATGACTAACTCACTCACTCTAGAATATAAGTCAAAGATGGCGTTATGTGTGACTATATACTCAAACGCCAAACTAACTGATCGTTATGACTTTGCACCTATCATTTGGAGATTTTTCAGGATACAATGCAAAATACCTATGTACATTGTTCTTTGAAAGCCAACATTATTCTGCCATGTAATTTGTGTGGACTTGACACAAGTGATATATCTGATAATTTCCCTCATGAGAACTCAGAGAGCATCTTGGCTCGTCACGATAGTATGATTTTGCCGATGTTAAATTCAACAACTGTAGCATCTAGGTATTAACGATGTATGTCAGGCGTGAGGATCCTGACTTGGTTTAAAGCACGAAGTATGCTTAACGAGACTACCTTGAAAACTTGTTCATCATAATTTATAATCATTAATATTAAAGGGCGTTGGGGTAGCCTAGTGGTTAAAGCGTTGGCTCGTCACGCCGAAGATCCGGGTTCGATTCCCCACACGGGTACAATGTGTGATGCACATTTCTGGTGTCCCCCGCCGTGATATTGCTGGAATGTTGATAAAAGTGGTGTAAAACCATACTCACCCATTTATATTAAAGTTTCACAGTTATACTTTGGACCTCACTATGCATGTTGCAACGCCACAAGTGTGATCTGGATGGTTTTGTATAAGGACGAGGGATGTACATAAACGATCAACGGACACTACAACGTTTACAGAGCTGCTGCTGCTGCCATATTTGTCTGCGCTATATTTAGAGACATATAAGAGTGGAAAATATGCATATGTTTTAGGCCGTCGGCTGGTCAGTATTATTTCAGCACTTATGCATAATACAGATGACTTAAAGATAAATACTTTATCAATATTAAATTTCATCCGAAACGATTAACACCGTAAGCGGTTTGCCGTTATTTCTGAAGTGAAGTGAGGCATTTTCCCTGTGGAACAGAAGTGAAGTCTAACAAAACAGAATTCAAAGCAACTGTTTTAATTTTACAGTTATGAAATGTAATACAGACTCATTTCCATTTCAAAAATCCTTATCTCAGAAATTTAAATCCTATAAGTCCATACCCGTACCATCTGTTATGTATCAAATACAAGTTTCTATAATAATTTGAATATGATGATGAAAAATGTCACAGTATATATAAACAAAAACAATGTCCATTAAGAACTAATTGGTATCATTTAGAACAAAACAATATAAATATTTTACAGGTAAGATTGATAATTAAAGTCACGACATATACACTTATACAATCTTTAAAACAAGAAAACTGCTGTATAGAATCAGCTTGTAAGTATATCGGCGGCAGACTGTATACAGAAGGTTAAGACGGACAAGTGAGTCTTCATCTCCCTCCAGCGTCCGGCGTTGTCCCCGATCTGGTACAGGAGGTCCGCCATCCCTGGGAACGTGGTCGTCTTGTAGTAGTCGGCGCTACTCGGTGATAGCAGCACGTGCCTGAAATTTTAAAAAACAACAACCCAGATTGTCAAGTTTTTTATACCTCACGGTCTCGCTGTCATGGTGATCTTGTTCTGGATGGAGAAGGAATAGTCCGGAAACACGTGTGCACGCGAGGGGAGCAGGACAAAAGCCACCCGGACAAAAGCCACCTGGACAAATGCCACCTGGACAAATACCACCTAGGACAAAAGCCACCTAGTTATTTTACCATTACAGAGAGGACAATTACAACCCTTATTGACTTTAAGGATTTTTTTAATATACATTTTACAAAGTGTTTAATTTAAAAAAAAAATGTTTTTGTTAAAAAAGGTTGACTTGATTAAAAATGTTGATTTTGTTGTAAAATTGTGTAGACTTATTGATGAATAATTTGGTTTCTTTTAAAACAATGTTCACTTTCATAAAAATGTTGACTTTGAAAGTAAAATTTGGATTTCATAGTAATGTTGACTTTATAAAAATGTTAACGTAAACAGCTGTAAAATTTTATTTACGAAATAGTTTGACCTTGAAATTTGATTTAAACATATTTTTTTTTCGCCATAGCGCTCGGAAACCTGGGTAGTTTTGATAGTTCTGGCCCCGGGGTCATGAAAGTGGATCACGTACATTTTTTAGTTAAGACTGAGATCATTTTTTCTCTTAAATCCCGAGACTGCTACCTACCAGTCTTAACCCCTTTTTGATGCCGAGGTTTTTTTCAGGCGCACATTTTCATAAGGTTTGAAAAGTGAACGTTGTGCGAGATTTGCGCACGAGTGGTCCTGGATCTGCGTACGGCCATAAGATTACACATACATGTAGAATATTACATTTCCTATCCGTTGGTATAAATATACATGCAAATACCTCGGCGGTGTGAAAACAGACACTGCTAAATGTTGTCCAAAAATTTTGCTATGCGTGCATGTCGCTGTAAGTGCAATAATCGTGAAGGCGATGTTAAGCCCCATGTCCTCACCCCATCATTGCCATGGTTTCTTTGGATTTTGGTCGATAGAGGGACCCTTTTACTTACAAATGTAGGTTTCGAAATGCTATAGGCCCCACACAGTCAACGTCACAGATAGCAAAACTTCCTCCAGAACCACAACATCACGTTTGCTCCGTCCTGGCCCTCAAGATCACCGGACAAACCCGATCGAACATCTGTAAAGGAAATGCCCTGGACAGACGGGTGCGACGCCGTAACCCTCAGCCCCAGTACACTTCAGCAACTGGTCACAGGCACTACAGGCAGAGTGGGCTGCGATTCCTAAGCAACACGAGATTCCCTCAAACCTGGTATTCGTTCGATGCCGAGGCGATGCCGTTTAGTTCTGATGACCCACGGTGGTCACACGAAGTCGTGATTCTTGGACTTCGGCGCCACCAGTTGTTGTAGCGTCTCCATGTGACACTCAAACTGACCAATGGCGATATTTCGGTCGGCAGCACTCAATCGTGGCATTTTTTCACACAGCTTTCATGCGACAAATGGATGAAAGTACGAAAGCACATGGGCTTTATACATCTTACAGTGTGCAATTTCGAAGTCACCATGAGAGGTCATTTCATGCGTTGTGACGGAATAAGCAATAAAATACACTTATGCGTACAAATGCAGTTGTTTGGATGGTAATCTTCATTAATTACGTGTATAATTTCAATACATTCGAATAACATTTCTTTTGGAAGCAATAACTTCATTCAAACGAATTTTTCATATCTGAGGACAGGGTTGCGTTTCTTTTTTGACAGAGTTTAATTGGTATCATTTAGAACAAAAACTATAAATATTTTACAGGTAAGATTGATAATTAAAGTCACGACATATACACTTATACAATCTTTATAACAAGAAAACTGCTGTAAAGAATCAGCTTGTAAGTATATCGGCGGCAGACTGTATACAGAAGGTTAACACAGACAAGTGTGTCTTCACCTCCCTCCAGCGTCCGGCGTTGTCCCCGATCTGGTACAGGAGGTCCGCCATCCCTGGGAACGTGGTCGTCTTGTAGTAGTCGGCGCTACTCGGTGATAGCAGCACGTGCCTGAAATTTAAAAAACATTAACCCAGATTGTCCAGTTCTTCATACCCCACGGTCTCGCTGTCATGATGATCTTGTTCTGGATGGAGAAGGAATAGTCCGGAAACACGTGTGCACGCGAGGGGAGCAGGACAAAAGCCACCCGGACAAAAGCCACCTGGACAAATGCCACCATGGACAAATACCACCTAGGACAAAAGCCACCTAGTTATTTTACCATTACGGAGAGGACAATTACAACCCTTATTGACTTTAATGATTTTTTTAATGTACATTTTACAAAGTGTTTAAGTTAAAAAAAAAATGTTTTTGTTAAAAAAGGTTGACTTTGATAAAAAAATGTTGATTTTGTTGTAAAATTGTGTAGACTTATTGATGAATAATTTGGTTTCTTTTAAAAAAATGTTCACTTTCATAAAAATGTTGATTTTGATGTAAAATTTGGATTTCATAGTAATGTTGACTTTATAAAAATGTTAACGTAAACAGCTGTAAAATTTTATTTACGAAATAGTTTGACCATGAAATTTGATTTAAACATATCTTTTTTTCGCCATAGCGCTCGGAAACCTGGGTAGTTTTGATAGCTCTGGCCCCGGGGTCATGAAAGTGGATCACGTACATTTTTTAGTCTTAAAAGTTAAGACTGAGATCATTTTTTCTCTTAAATCCTGAGACTGCTACCTACCAGTCTTAAGCCCTTTTTGATGCCGAGTTTTTTTTCAGGCGCACATTTTCATAAGGTTTGAAAAGTGAACGTTGTGCGAGATTTGCGCACGAGTGGTCCTGGATCTGCGTACGGCCATAAGATTACACATACATGTAGAATATTACATTTCCTATCCGTTGGTATAAATATACATGCAAATACCTCGGCGGTGTGAGAAATAGACACTGCTAAATGTTGTCCAAAATTTTGTTATGCGTGCATGTCGCTGTAAGTGCAATAATCGTGAAGGCGATGTTAAGCCCCATGTCCTCACCCCATCTGGTTGCCATGGTTTCTTTGGATTTTGGTCGATAAACCCACCCTTTTTACTTACAAATGTAGGCTCGAAATACTATAGCACACTTCTTAAAATGTTGCTATGTTAAAAGTATTAACGTCCTAGTGTTTTCCATTTCTTCAGAGAAATATTCTCAAGCACGACGTTAAACCCAATTTCACCTCACCTCATTTCTTCAGACTCCATGTTTGCCTTGGATTCGAACTCACATCGTAAGGCTGATGATATTATCACTGGAGCTGAGCGGAGAACTGAGTATTTAGAAACTAACTTATGTCTTAACTCCAAACAGCAGGAATCCTTCCCATCTATCTGTGCCTATTTGTTGTAGTGAGTTATTATGTGCACATGACTGCCATGGTATTTTATTCCAAAAGGATTTGTTATTAGACAACAAATGACTGTAGTCAACAGGTGTGTATTAACTAAAACTGTGTTTGATGTCATTAACAGTAACATATACTTCTCTTCAAAAGTTTAGACTCACTTTAAACACTCACTATATGTTATATACATATATATGGTAACATCGAAGATTGATTTTTCCACTAACTTAGGGGAACCAACTGCAAACGTTATGCAGATGAATTGCACGAGGATCATGCATGAAATTGCTGAAAAGCATGTGCAAATATCGTACATGTGAACAGCTGCGTTTTGGTGTAAAGTTTCGTTAAGAATTCGCCAATTTTCACTGATTTGTATCATTTACTGAACTCATGACAATATTGTTTTCAACGTTACGAATTTGTTTTACAATACATCAGTTCATGTGTGAACAGTACCTTTAAACAGTGTGGAATATTCAAAAATCAAAATTTAGTTTAGAACAGTTGCCTGAAGTAAGTGGCTATATTTACACTAGTGAGCCTAAACTTTTGATGAGAAGTATATTATGTATTTTTAACATTGTGACTGTATCTCGCGATAGTACACATGGATACCATGATAGTATATAATTACTTGTATTCCTTTCTGTTCGGAAGTCCGGCATGAACCTGGAACGCCTTCTCCATGGCCTGCAGCTTGTCATTGATGGATCTCACTTCAAGAGGGCTGGAAGAGTGACGTCATTAAACTGATGTTGTCTGGCTTAAGGCGTTCATGATACAAATATAACAGGGTTTGGCTCATGTATACAGCTCAGATAGAAAAACTCTTTGGAAAACGTAGTATTTTCTCAGTGCTTCCGGGACGGCGTCTGTGTTCCTGCTTGTATGGAAGGGTATTAGTGCCATATTAGATGATAACTACATCAACGTAGAAGATACTACTGAAGTGGTAAAGGTCTCAGACTTGCCTCATTTCAGTCTTACCTCCCATATTAAGCTGACAAGTCGTGGTATAACCGGAATAATGCCAAGAACAGCGTTAAACCTGACACACACAAACTGATTATGATTTTCTAACTTAGTCTTTCACCTCTCAGGGGCCGTGAAAGGCTTCACTTTAATTCAAAACAATTAAATGTTTTGAGGTTAGCATCCATGAACCACAAGGTGAAGTTGGGTGTGTGGCAGATAGCGAGATGGATGAAGCAAGTTGCATCCTCTGAGTACCGAGAACGAGAAGAAGTTGTGGGTAAGTATATCACGACTCTTCTTTTCTCAGAAATGAACTGTGTGTTTAGAAGCAGTGGCTAAAAACACACGCCGTCTCGAACAAAAACTACCTCCTCCCTCCCCTCAAACAAAGTGTTAGGGACAGTAATTAGCTGTGCGGAGATGGATTCCGTTGTAAGCTCTGATTCTCTTTGATCAGGACCGCTACAAAAGACTCAAGGGTTTCAGAGTACCAGCTCTGTACGACTTGAGTCACTTTGTGGTTCCCCCATTGTAAGCCCTAGTTGTGACATGACTGAAATATATCTCACTCATTCGCTCAATGACTAACCATTTACGTACTCATTCATTCACTCACTCACTCACTCACAAGGAAAGTAGGTTCCTTACTTGTGTAAATCAACTTTGTCCAAAGCCAAGTGAAATTCCTCTGCGGCTTTGGTAAAATTGTGCGATGCGGACTTGATAGCCGCTGAAATGAAACAAGGAAACCATTATAACGGAAGTGTCCCGCCTGAGGGGTAAGTGCGTCTTGGCGGTGTGCAAGACACCTTCGACGGTGATTTCGAATCCCCGTTTAATTTGCCCTCATCAAAGCTATAGGGTCTGCAGCACTAACCCGTGCACGTAGATTTCACCATAGCGCTGAACGTCTAAGAGCTTACATCGAGCTTTTCTCTAACATCAAGATACACGCCTTGACATTTACATTTTCCCGGCAGATTTTGTTCCATGGAATGACCACCTCAGTAGATTAAGTTGATAAATTTGATTTTGTTACCATCAATTAACCAATCAGAATCAAGTTCTTCCAAATCCATAGTAGAATGCATGTTATTTTAGCGCTATTACTGTTTGAAGTAATACCATGTAATACGTTATTTATCCTAATCAACCTACAAAACATGTTATTTTTAAAGAAAGACAGAATCATGAAACTGACCCGATGTTATGCCGTGAGAAGAAAATTGTTCTTTTTTCTGAGTCGAAAAGCGTTTCAATATAGCCTTCCACTGCTTCAGCATAATCTCGCACATCCAAAGGCAAAATCAGAGAATCGACGAGATCTCGCGCAGTCTCGATGACAAGGGCCGCCACTGAGCGGGCAGTCCCCAGTTCCGGATCAATCATCTTGACGTAACGGTACCCATCATATAGTGTGTGGTACAGCGGGTGGGTATGTTCCTTGTGCACCCTGTACCCCAGGTCCTGCAACAGGTATATTGATGCAGTATTAACATCGTTACCTTAATTGTCATAAACGTCAGATGTCTTACTTTGAATTTGTCATGATGGCTTACAGGATGAGAACCATTTTGCCCAATTATGTGAACATTAAGATGTTAATGTGGGTACCCCATCACTGGCGCCCACCACCAACACACACACAAGCACACTCCATTTAAATACAAAGCTTAAATTAAAGAAAGGAACGAATAAAAGTACTACATATTTGTTAAATTGAAATGCAGGTACATCCCAATTAAGACCCTATTTAAATACAGGTCAATGTGTACAGAAGTTCCACATCCTTACAGGGATAACATATCGCATGTAGTTTACACTGAGGCCATTACTCGTGTGTGTCATGTAGTATACACAAAGGCCATTACTCGTGTGTGTCAAGTAGTTTCACATATACACTGACATCAGGATGTGACCAACTGTCCACATGTACACAGGTCAATATCTTCAACATAGATCTTCATTCACACGTACATTAATACTTGTAGTAGTTCCACATTTCGTATGTCAGTATGTCTTTTGGTTGAGGAAGCACAGACAAGATGGACCACACATGGTTCACCAGAAATATATCTTGAAAACCGAAACAAACGGTCAGACTTTGCTAAATCCCACGAAAAGACCAAGTACGATTTTGAAATTCGAAGGATCACTGCAAAACGGTCTGGACGCCCTCGACCAGGAGGTCAGAAAAAGAGAAGATAAAAAGGCTATTTATTAATGATTACCATGTTCCTGTAGGCAGCTGTTAAGGTAGGGATAGCAACATCTTCCTCGAATGGTACAAAATCCGATCCTGCTCCCGGCATTTTGAGCCTAGAAATACATTCAAGCGACGCTTATTAGTCAAAGCCTTATATGACAGCATACATGACTACGGTATAATAACAGAATAGAAATAGTAATGAGGCAATATGTGGCAGGGTGGCCACATGCGTATTTGTCGAAATACCTTTGCTGAAAATTCTAAGGAGAAAATGCTATCCCCAAAAGTATGGGATATTTGTTTTGGGGCGAAGGTAAAAGAACGTAGGCCTACACTAATTTCTTGCACTGGACGAACGTAATTTCAGTGACAAGTACATATCTGGATAAATCAAGCATACACATGTCAGTGACGGTCATGAAGCACGTGGCTTCGGAGAGCGTGTGCAAGGGGTGGTATGCTATATTTACCATTGTATTGTACAATGAGTCTGGCATTAAAATATCGGTTGAAAACTGCCCCTCGGACAAGGAACCGGTTGAAGCAGACAACTGGTGTACGAATATATGCCTCTGCAGTGTTTGCAGAGACGGCAAATTCTTTCCCAAAATTCGCAAATATGTGCATGTCACTTGAATCAGAGGCGTCAGTGGAGTAGGGAATAACACTTGGATAATGGCGTTAATGTCTAAGTTAATGTCGTACAGCATGATGGTTTTGGGGGTGGGTATATAACGGTGTTGGTGGTATCACAATGCCTGACCCAACTGCGCTCCATATTGTATATAACAGTCACAAATACCATCGCTACACCAATGCACAACTCGCGGCCCCATCTGCACAACGTTTTGGGGACGATTGATCTTCCTCAGATGATAATGCCAGCAGCTTCAACAGCTGAACATCCATGTCATTGCCAGTCCTGATCTTGCCCCAATGACCACTGTCAAGTCCAGCCCCCATTCTCAGTAAACGTGGGGCTTCCTTTACCGAGTGGACGAACATGAGTCATGGTGACAATGGTCGTCTCAACAGAAGCATACCTCGAATAGGGAAATGTCTGGACAAATGAGGTTCCTTTACCCCATATCAGTGGCGTTGGTTGCCTTTCCATGTAATTACCATTTGCCAATACTGTATGGATCAGGAAGGAAGAGGATTTTTATGGATGTCAACTTCTTTATTATGAGGAACACAACGTTTCAGAGTATATCCTTACTCCTTCATATACTCCGAAACGTAAAAATCCTCTTCCTTATGTGTATCACGTCTAAATGCCATTCAAAGACCTTGTATGGATCAGAATGTACGTCCTGATGATTCCCCCGATCCCCCCGACAGGTCGTGGTGTCGAAGTGAAAGGGATCTATGTAAATACTTTTGGTTATCCGAGGTTCGGTACAACAACATACACTTTTACTTCGAGACAGCCGTACATTCGACACAACGGTGTTTACATATAGAACAACGGTGATAACATAGAGAACAACGGTGTTTACATATAGAAAAACGGTGTTTACATATAGAACAACGGTGTTTACATATAGAACAACGGTGATTACATATAGAACAACGGTGTCTACATATAGAACAACGGTGTTTACATATAGAACAACGGTGATTACATATAGAACAACGGTGTCTACATATAGAACGGTGTTTACATATAGAACAACGGTGTTTACATATAGAACAACGGTGTTTACATATAGAACGGTGTCTACATATAGAACAACGGTGTTTACATATAGAACAACGGTGTTTACATATAGAACAACGGTGTTTACATATAGAACAACGGTGATTACATATAGAACGGTGATAACATATAGAACAACGGTGTTTACATATAGAACAACGGTGTTTACATATAGAACAACGGTGTTTACATATAGAACGGTGTCTACATATAGAACAACGGTGTTTACATATAGAACAACGGTGATTACATATAGAACAACGGTGTTTACATATAGAACAACGGTGATAACATATAGAACAACGGTGTTTACATATAGAACAACGGTGTTTACATATAGAACAACGGTGTTTACATATAGAACAACGGTGTTTACATATAGAACAACGGTGTTTACATATAGAACGGTGTCTACATATATAGAACAACGGTAAGTTTACATATAGAACAACGGTGATTACATATAGAACAACGGTGTTTACATATAGAACAACGGTGATAACATATAGAACAACGGTGTTTACATATAGAACAACGGTGTTTACATATAGAGCAACGGTGTTTACATATAGAACGGTGATAACATATAGAACAACGGTGTTTACATATAGAACAACGGTGTTTACATATAGAACAACGGTGTTTACATATAGAACAACGGTGATTACATATAGAACAACGGTGTCTACATATAGAACAACGGTGTTTACATATAGAACAACGGTGATTACATATAGAACAACGGTGTCTACATATAGAACAACGGTGTTTACATATAGAACAACGGTGTTTACATATAGAACAACGGTGTTTACATATAGAACGGTGTCTACATATAGAACAACGGTGTTTACATATAGAACAACGGTGTTTACATATAGAACAACGGTGTTTACATATAGAACAACGGTGATTACATATAGAACGGTGATAACATATAGAACAACGGTGTTTACATATAGAACAACGGTGTTTACATATAGAACAACGGTGTTTACATATAGAACGGTGTCTACATATAGAACAACGGTGTTTACATATAGAACAACGGTGATTACATATAGAACAACGGTGTTTACATATAGAACAACGGTGATAACATATAGAACAACGGTGTTTACATATAGAACAACGGTGTTTACATATAGAACAACGGTGTTTACATATAGAACAACGGTGTTTACATATAGAACAACGGTGATAACATATAGAACAACGGTGTTTACATATAGAACAACGGTGATAACATATAGAACAACGGTGTTTACATATAGAACAACGGTGTTTACATATAGAAAAACGGTGATTACATATAGAACAACGGTGTTTACATATAGAACAACGGTGATAACATATAGAACAACGGTGTTTACATATAGAACAACGGTGATATACATACATAGAACAACGGTGTTTACATATAGAACAACGGTGTTTACATATAGAACAACGGTGTTTACATATAGAACAACGGTGTTTACATATAGAACAACGGTGTTTACATATAGAACAACGGTGTTTACATATAGAACAACGGTGTTTACATATAGAACAACGGTGATTACATATAGAACAACGGTGTTTACATATAGAACAACGGTGTTTACATATAGAACAACGGTGTTTACATAGAACGGTGTTTAACAACGGTGTTTACATATAGAACAACGGTGTTTACATATAGAACAACGGTGTTTACATATAGAACAACGGTGTTTACATATAGAACAACGGTGTTTACATATAGAACAACGGTGTTTACATATAGAACAACGGTGGAACAACGGTGTTTACATATAGAACAACGGTGTTTACATATAGAACAACGGTGATTACATATAGAACAACGGTGTTTACATATAGAACAACGGTGTTTACATATAGAACAACGGTGATTACATATAGAACAACGGTGTTTACATATAGAACAACGGTGATTAGAACATATAGAACAACGGTGTTTACATATAGAACAACGGTGTTTACATATAGTATCTACATATAGAACAACGGTGATTACATATAGAACAACGGTGTTTACATATAGAACAAAACGGTGTTTGTATAAACCATAAACGGTGTTTACATATAGAACAAACGATGTTACATATAGAACAACGGTGTTTACATATAGAACAAAAATCATGGCGCCCAGTACCTGGGAAACTCCGAGTTAAGTGTGTCCGGATTTCTCTCCCGCCATACATCAAACAGGGTTTGACCAGCCTGGTTGTAATCGGGAACCTACAACAACATGACGAACGGTGATCGCTTCTGGACGGACATCGGATGCCCTTTCTAGTGATCTGATACATCCTAATATGAAAACGATTTGTTTTACATCAGGTCATGGTTTGAAAGTATTCAATAATCATGCTGGAAAACTGTTGTTCATCAATTACATGTCTTTGGATGTTGTTCACTAACTGTTCACTAACACAAATAACTAACTATTTTTAAACACTCAATCTGATTCAATGTTAAATTGTAATGTCCACACATCGCGTGACTCTCCGCAGATTTTCACGAAGTTTGTAGGTTCATAAACAGTAAGTGTCCAAATGGAATCAAACAGTTACTCGTCGATTGTGGTAAAATGTTTGCATAGAGTTCGAATATCGGATATACATCGACGAAGTGATGAAAACCGCATCAGGGAAAGAAATTGTTTTCCAAACTAGCTAGTTAAGCTCCTATAACAGCACTTGTCATTTTATTATTGCTTTCAAACCTTTTTCGCTGCTCTGAAAACGGCACGTCTGAGTGTTGGCGTGGCGGCAACCCCTATTGAGTAATTACCTGGAAGTGAAAACACTCCATATAACATATAATATAACACGTCATGGAAACCTGTCATTTGAAGTCATGTTCAAATGAGGTGTTAACTAGCGGACTAGTGAGATTATCAGTGCCATCCCAAACCAACACACATGATGAACTGGGTATGATCACCCGAAACATTGTAGTAAATACTGGATAAGTCTGGTGACTCAGTTCTAACTCTTTCTTGTGTCCCCCGCCGTGATGTTGCTGGAATATTGCTAAAAGCGGCGTAAAACTAAACCCGCACTCGCAGTTCTAACTCGTACATGCATGTAACAGATTTCACTTACAGTATAAAATAAACTAATGTTAAATAATACAGTCGGTTTTCTGTGAATATGCAGTTAGCTAGAGACAGTGTACATAATACTGTATAAGGAGACATATATACACTAAAGACACTTATACCCGTGAAGATCCGGGTTAGAATTGATCTTCAGCAACCCATGCTTATCGTAAGAGACGACTAACGGGATCCGGTGGTTTGGCTCGCTGACCTGGTTGACAGGTGTCATCGATCATATCTAAGTTGTGTAGATCAATAGTCATGATGGTAATCACTTGATTGTCTGGTCCTGACCTGATTACCGGTCGACACCGTTTAAACCCCGGACGTAACCTTATTTCAGTCCCATCACAGCGTGTAAACCCATAGATTCGTGGATCCTGACACAAAGGGGGAGGTAACTTTGCCATTAGACCTCAGTTATAAAATGATTAATACTTGACAGTAAATGAAGTTGGCTCACCAGCTGTAGTAGAATCGATGTTTAGATAGGCCACGGCCTGGTTCCGTAACCACATGACATTCTCCTGTGACAAGGCAAATAGTTGGTACAATGGTTCTCTCTTTCTACATATATAGATGACAGGTTTTTACGTTATATATTCATTGATTTGAATATTGATATAAACTGTTCTCGTCACGATATGGCTGCAATATTGCCGATGTGACGTTAAATTTTAACTCACTCACTAACATTCTACATATATATCCTTTGATGATGAATATGTTTAGTATTTAACCACTTAGGCAATCATATCTCATTAATCACTGTCTTAGCTGAGTGCATTTTTTACTCTGAAACAATACAAAAGTAATACTAACCTACCATGTTACGGTTTTAATAATACTAGTATTTTATATTATATGATATCAAATCAGACACAAATATTCATGTTATACCACCCCTATATACAAAAAATATACATATACAAACATCAAATAGATAGCGCAAAAACACTTAAAGGTCACATGCAACCAAAAAATCAAACATAATTAAAACACAATTATCACTTCTTCATGACATATAATATGCATTGCTGATTATGAAAAAAACAAATAAACAAAATTATAAGCGTATAATCGCAAATCAAAACTGCAATATTTTGTACTTGGGTTTACCTCCCTCGAAACGAAGCAGCCGGGATACCGAACCCAGTCAACGCGGGTGGGTGTGCACTCAAGTGTAACGGCTGGTTCATTAGCAGATGCCGCCTTCACGGCTCATTGTGTGTGTATATATAGAGATGTTGGGTTTTGTAAATACATGCTCGTTTTTTGTGTATAACATTTTGCAATCAACAGACATCATAACATGTCATGTGTTCAAGTATCACACCTGCCTGTCTGTGTAATTACATAATGTGACAGAGACCAAACTCGGGCCATAAATCAATGCGTTTTGTTTATGGTGTATAGCCTGATTGGTGTTAAGTTCAAATTGCATGTGGTCAGTGATCGCAGTTGTGTATTGAATATTGTCATTAGCAGACAGGCAGGCAGACACACTGGTGTCAATAAAACAAGACATTGAGTTTTGTCTGTGACAACGACATATCTATATCACAGTTAGAAATTGTGTCAACGCTAAATAATGACATTGCTTTTAAGTATCGAACTGAGAAAGTGACTCGGTAAGAAGAGCGTGTGGTGAAATAGACAAATGAAATTATATAAACAGTTTATTTACTGTCATAACATATAAAAAGCTCGCGCCTGTGAGATATCAACAAAACATTATGAAAATAGCTCACACCAAAGCCTTCACAGAGTATTCACCAGACAGCCCGCTTCCAAGTTGCGCGAACCTATTTCACTGTGCACGTGCTATGAGCGCAGCCCAGCTGTTGAAACCCGTATTCCCCAGAAACGTCTGGGGAAAATTAGTGAATCGTTTGAACTCCGATTTCGCGCGGTTTTTTTCATCGCGTTATTTTTCAACTTTATAAGTTGAATTTGCATTTTTGACGATTTGTTTCGGTAAGTCCATACCTAAAGGTATCAGAATCTGCAAAGTTGTGTTTTACGTTGCATGTGACCTTTAACATAAAATTTACCTCTATTCAGCATACCTTGTCACTTACATGTGTATACATACTGATAAATACAAACAGAGCAGAAAATAAGAATAATTCCAACCTGGATGAATCTAAAGATTTTACGCCACTTCTCTGTACTTGCACAACATAAAAAAGCCCTCATTGCAAAGTACTTACCTCGACCCACTCGTACGACCCGACCAGACCAAACTCCTCAGCATCCCAGCTGCAGAACATCACCGACCTCCGGGGCTCCCAGCCTACAGAGCATAATAACGGTACATGCCGGTGTGCCAGGATTAACTCACCATCTTTTAATTACATTATGGAACTGATGTCGAAAACCGAAAAAGGTACAAAAGGCCACAGTAACATCAACACTGATGTCACCTTTCTATTGTGCGTCTATGTGGTCTGGGTGTGAGTCGAATTCTCAGGTTGACGAGTCATATTTATCTCGGATGAAATATTGTCAAAGATACCGTGCATTATCGTGCAGTTCAACTTGCAATATCTCGAGAGGAAAATACAAACAATAAAATCTGAAGTCACACGCACGCACGCACGCACGCACTCACGCACGCGCGTATGAACCTGTATGACAAGATCCAGTCTTACATCCTATGTCAGGGTAACCCTGAAGATCCGAGGTAGAATTGGTTTCAACAACCCATGCTTGTCGTAAGAGGCCACTAACGGGATCGGGTGGTCAGGTTTGCTGACTAGGTTGACACCTGTCATCGTATCCCATATGCTCATGCTGTTGATCACTGTATTGTTTGGTATATAGCGCCGCCATATAGCTGGAATATTGCTGAGTGCGGCGTTAAACAACAACCCAACCAACCAACCAATCTTATGTCAGGGTAAAGATGTTACCATAGCCTTACCTCCCTTGACTCGCTCGGCGTAAACTCTGGACATTTCCAACATGGCGGCACTTCCGGAAGACGGGTCAACTCCACCGAACACCCATGCGTCTCTGTGGTTTCCTATTAGTACCACTCTGTCTGCAAGAATACAACGTAGGTAAAATAGATTTCTATTATCACGAAGAAAAGGCTATGTTGACCAAAGAGAATTATTCGAAATACTTACCGCTTTCTATGACGCCTTTCATCTTAGCTATGACGTTGTATATTTTGACTGTTTTCAATTTATTCTTCACAAACAGTTTCACTTTCCTGAAAAAAAATATCAAGAGATGAGGAAGAGAGTATAAAACGCCAGGGCTAAACAGTATTGTCCATGCTTACTAGCAGATTCCATTTGATGTGATGTGCAAAATAACTGAAAATTATATGAATTGACCTCTGAAAATCAGTGATGATATCACGTGTTCGTGAAAATGGTAATAATGTCCTTGTCTAGCGGTAGCACCCGCTATTCAGACAATTTGCCGAAAAAAGCAAGTATTTACAGCCCGATATCCTACAGCAACGCTCTTGCCGCGGTCTGCAAACAAGGCAGACAATCAAGTGATCGATGAACTAGAAAATACAGTAACTGTTGCTAATTATGAATCACGAACATCTCAGTTCATCTAATTTTGAACATTTTAATCCAATCCAATTGCAATCCATACATAAATTTATATACCTTTCATCAAATGATGGCACTAAAATAATAATAGCTTTACGAAGTTAAAACTGCCTCCGTTCTCACTCGACTTACAGAGAACAATAAGACAAGGCCACTCCAACAACACTAAACCATCTCGTCCTGTGCGATATACCGTTAACTGATATATTATGTTACAATTATGTCATTTAAGCTCATCACTTAAGACAGCATCAACCGTGACGGTAACATAGTGACAGAACATCCATATGAGAGGTGCGGATGAGGGAACGCACGTGTTTGCTGCCATGGTTCCCCCAAGTCTGTAGGTGATGTTCAGGCCCCCTTGCCACTCGGGGGGCGCCGCCGTTCCCTCCATCTCCCTGGAAAGACACTTATATCATTACATCTTAGCATGGCATAGACCATTAAGTAAACATTGTATAAATCAAATACACATTTCAAACAACAATTCCGTGATGCAATGGGTTTCTGGTCATTGTGATGAATAACTATTATCAGAATAAAGAAAGTTTCCTATATATTATTCATCTTTTTCTGTTTGTTTCTTTCCAGAAGCTGAAAAGTACTTCTAAAACGGAACTATATTGTAGTTTTTAAACAAAAACCCCCATCAGAGACAGTTTAATCCATTCATCAATCAAACGGGACACAACAGGTGTTATAAATGCATGTTAAATGTGAGAAAATGATCATTAATCATTAATCAACTGCAAATCAATCAATCATATTTTACCTCAGCAGCATATAAGCATCAGCGTAACCAATTGGATGACAAGGGATTTTAGGAAGTTTGGCCTTCAATTCTTCCTCCGTAAGTCGTTCCGTATACCCTGTGAATAGAGTTCTTTGTCATAGGAAGACAAAAAGGACAAAGTGTATTATAGAGTAAGTATATTCTTTGATATACCATATTACTGGAAGGTTTGTTAAAGTTGGGTCAGAGTAGACAAAATAAGGTATTGTGTTGCCACAGTGCATATGCAACATCACAATCTAATTTCAATGGGCACTGACTATAGCTACAGTAAGACATATTTATAAGACGCTGAATCATTACTATACTTATTATTAATATACTTCTATTTGTGCCATATGCAAACAAACTCTTCAACACACGTTTGTTTATATTAAGAGAAAAACATTAACTTAATATGTGTAACTCGATATAGTAACTTCCAACTTGATTTCGTTTTCCTTAAATTACATCGTCAGTCAAAATCGTGAATCTTGGTGTACATTCTTTTTGACATGTAATCCACTCAATCGTTTTACAGAAGACGCCATGTCTTTAACACGTTGCCGGGTACCTCCGATAAGTGCACGATACTTACACGTTGCCCGGTACCTCCGATAAGTGCACGATACTTACACGTTGCCGGGTACCTCCGATAAGTGCACGATACTTACACGTTGCCGGGTACCTCCGATAAGTGCACGATACTTGCACGTTGCCGGGTACCTCCGATAAGTGCATGATACTTGCACGTTGCCTGGTACCTCCGATAAGTGCATGATACTTACACGTTGCCGGGTACCTCCGATAAGTGCCCGATACTTACACGTAGCCGGGTACCTCGATAAGTGCACGATACTTACACGTTGCCGGGTACCCTGGGGTGGCCTGATCTCCTTTAATCATAACTATGTTGCCCCTCTGGACGCCGGTAGGAGGTAGCCAGATGCTGTCAGGGTAGGTGACGTTACCATCGGTGTAGTCACTCGGGTCCATGAAGAGGATGATGCCAACGGCACCGTTTTGGTAGGCAAAGTTAACCTATAGTGTTTACCACAGCAATGTTTATCAGCAATACATATTATTATAGAATATTTGTATACATGGATTCTAGATCATATGATATCCCTAACTTAGTATGTCACGATCCAATTATTGTCCCGATAATGCAGTGTGTTGTATACTCAGTGAGGACAACTTTTGTCTTTTGATAGATCGAAACCCTATTAATCCGAACTATGAACTTGTCCAGATTGAAATGAATTCCGGAATATGAAATCATTCGTACAAGATAAACTCCTTTCTCTCTTTATGACTAATGAACGTTCTTTACGGAATAATCCCAAAACTTGTGTTTCCGGAAAAAGTGATTTCGCTCTCATGGGTCTTGAGTGTGAAGTAAATCAATCAAAACTTTTCATTTATCTATCGGCTGTGAAAACATGCGAGAACTAATCAGAGGAACAGTGTCTCACCTTGTTCCCTCGGAATATCTGCCCATATCGAGCAATGACGATCTTTCCCGAAACATTTACCCCAAGTCGGGCGAGGTTCTCGAAGTCAACATCTCGGGCGTAGTTGGCATACACGAGCTCGCTCTGTAAGGTGAGATGTTCCCTACTGTAGGATTGACTGTGACCTTGCATAGTTTCCAGTAACGTAATTAACACATTTCAATTAAACATTACTGCTTGTAGTTCCATCGATAGTGCTATCATAATATTCATGTTAACCAAAGACCTGTTGCCTTGTTATTGATGTACGTATAGCTAAGAGCTACCGTGATGCATAGACTACATAGGTCGTAACTATACTATTCACACTTTGTTAAGGATCAAATCATGGATTCGACAGAAAACTAAATTTATGATGAGGGGTCAAATTTGGTTTAGATATCTAAGCTTATTGTAAGCATGGATCTTAGGTTTCTGTGCGTCATTTCATTGTGTGGAGCCCATACCTGCTATTGACAGGTGTTGTGTACTTGTCAATGACTCGTTCCATGATTTGCAAAATGGTTGATTGGTGCCATCAAAACATCTTTTATTGTTATTCATGTATCAAGTGCATAAGGTTAGATTAAAGTGACTGTTTGCCTAAAGACGGGTTACCATATTATTTATCCAATTTCAAATGTAGACAGTTTCAAATTATACTGACTGACTGAGTTTGGTTTTACGCCGCTTTTAGCAATATTCCAGCAACATCACGGCGGGTTCAAATTATAAATTTACGTTTAAGTAAAGTTGTGAATTTTTGTGATCCTTAGCAAAGTGTGAGTAGTATACATAGGTCGCAAAATTGTTAACGGTATCGTGCAACTTTCAGTCATAGATTCTTCGGCTCGATGTCTCCCGAGGCGCTACTTCCGGTACTAAGCTGGTTCCCGGCTCCCTTTGCGCGCGCGGGGCTCAGCGAACCTCCGGTACCAGATTTCCGGTGACAAGCGGATATACAAGAAACACCGCCCCATTCGCAAATAAATAATGTTACTACCTGCCCGTAAATGGTGGTGGGAAACGAAGTCGCCTGTTTGTTACGTAATATGTTGACGTAGGGTGGACGTTGTTGTGAGAAGGACAATATTTAAAGAGTGACCATGATCAGTACTGCTGTGTTACCTCGGGATGGCCACTGGGAGAGAAGGCGTTGTATGGCTGTACCACTTCCGGATGGGACTCCCCATGGGAGAAGGCGTGTTCACCGGTTGAGGTCTGGTACAACACTCTGCCGTCCGAGGCCACGAGACTCGCCTGCAGCACAAATGTTAAGAGTTAGCAGTTGGTAACTATAGGGAGGCAAACTTCGTAATATGACATCCTGGGTCCTGATCCATAAAGCGTTTGTAACGTTACGACCTGTCGTAACTCTACAGTTTACCACAGACTTACGAATGTCGTAGCGCTACGAACGTTTTCTGGATCGGGACCCAGTTCCCGGCTCTCACATACATAGAATTTGTCTATGAAGTTCACCTATTAACATATTGTTTACTCGGTAACTTCAGGTGACATTTAGTTTCAGTCTTGACAAATTGCACTGAATCTTTGAATATGAAGATGTAACTTTTTCTCTGGTCATAACATTCGGTGACAAGTCCACCTGAATCAGGGAAAACCCGTGACGTTTGGGGGGACGATTTTATACACACCATAGGCATTGCTGGATTTAGAAAATGGAATCATACCATTTTAAACTTATCAAAGTACTTATGTACATTTTAGTCACTAAGATCTGATTTAACAAAATTAAGTCGTTAAATATGTTTGTGTAATGATCAGTTGAGAGCACAAGTACATTCACGGGTTCTTCTGTTAAGCGGGTCCTGAGTGTCGTCGTCCCTCCAGTACAGTGTACACTAATGACCTAACTGCGTAATGACCAATATAATAATAACAATAATGTTATTCACTTGTATAATGATTATTTCCAATTTAGCACTGCTTAGAAGTGCTGCAATTACCCGGACAACCCAGGCTGCCTGTGAGGAGTTAGAAGGTTATACTCACATAATTTATCCCAACGGGTACCCATTAACTGCTGGGTGAACAGAGGCAATTTTGAACAAACTCACTTGCCTAAGGTGAGACCACATGTATCAAAATGCTTCGTTGTGGGGCAGAACTGAAGTCCTAGAAACTCTTTTATTGCTTGTATTTACAATGAAATAATCAAAGAACTTACGGTATTAATATGATTCTCCTCTGGGTATGACAACAGAACATCATACGGCACCATCTGTACGTCATATCCCTGTTCTGTCCATTGATCTTTGACGTACTCTGCCGTACGGAGATTATCAGGAGTTCCGGCGAGATGCGGACGTGACGTCAGATATCTTGAACATGTTTCGTGTGACATACACACCTAATGACTCTCTTAATCGCGTGATTGTATTTTGAAACACAAGACATAGACAGAGTAAAACAAAGCTGAAAATTGTCAGTTAAAGCATTATTCTTAAGGAACTTAAGAACTCATCAATGATGATTTTACCTGAAATTGTTACTTAATCTTTAAGGGACACAGGTCGCCCTGTTCTGGAAAGCACCGCAATTCGCCGTGCAGAGTTGCTGCCCTTGAGCCTCTGATCGTGGGTTCGGATCACAGTGCTCCCCAATTAGATTTTCAGGTTTGTTGGCACCATAGCTTGTCCTCGTGGTTTAAACCAAAGCGGTATGGGGCCAGCATCACCTCGGACTCTCCCTGACACGCCGCACTGTCACTGGGATACTGTGGAAAGCGGCGTTCAACCCCTCCCTCCCTCTCCCTCTTACTTGATCTCCACATTATAAAAGTAACGACCGTGGAAAAACTCAGTAATGCACCATGTCAACGGAACACCGCCATTTCTGTATCGAGAACGAGTAAACGCCAGTGTCCTGGCGTGGCGTTTTACTGTTTCCGTACACCGTTTGATGATGGGATTACCACAGTTTTCCACGGATGAATGGATAGACAACATGGACATATGGAATGTCGGTTCAAGTTGGTTTTTGTTTTTGTTGTTTAACGTGATCAACAGTATGAGCATCAATCTACGCAATTGGGATACGATGACATGTGGCAACCAAGTCGGCGAGCCAGACCACCCGATCCCGTTAGTCGCCTTTTACGACATGCATAGGTTGCTGAAGTCTAACCCGGATCTTCACGGGTCGGTTCAAGTAAGATAAAAAACCCAACAACATTAACCAGGGGAGTGTACTCATTTGAACTAGAAATACCTAACGCATTATCTATAAAACATCATCACATGTTGATAGTTGATTCTTACTGCAGGTGCTTGTCAATGATGGCAGGATCTATCCCGCTGATGAGTGTGTTGCCTACATCAGGCTCCGCATCTCTGGTGAGTCGTCGTAGTATTAGGTCCGACTTTGGCCCATAGCGCTGTGGGGCGAACAGCCCGATCATAAGTCCAACGACAAAGGCTATGACAATCAACCCAATAGCCGCTATACAGCCACGCCCGGTTATCACAGCCATGTCAGTGTTGGAACCTACACAAAGGAATGCATCAGATGATATACATTATATCCAACTTTTATCAAACTGCTTATCAAATTTATTTCGTTTCATGCTCATATAAAACATGCAGTTTCTGATCATGATCCAATGTGAAACAGTTTGTTGGTTTACGCCGCACTCAACAATATTGCTGCTACTTGGCGGCGGTCTTTAAATCATGATGTCAGGACCAGACCATCCAGTGATTGACATCACGGGGCGGTACGTGGTGTATCACATGTTGTATGTATGGATAGTTTCTAGTTTATTATTAGAAATATGATGTACTGTATAATACAATTCGGGTTTGATTTACTTGAAATACATCGTATCTTTTACATATTTGTAGTTGAAGATGAACTCAGTTTAATGAGTCCTTATGATTACCCGTACAATTAAAATAGTAAACTCTATCTCACCTACTTAGCACCTAAACATTATATAGCTACATATTTATAGAATAAGGGCTAGGGAATTTGAATGGATGTCTGTATGACTGATATGAGTGGTTGATTGACTGACTGACTGACTGACTGAGTTTGGTTTTACGCCGCTTTTAGCAATATTCCAGCAACATCACGGCGGGGGACACCAGAAATGGGCTTCACACGTTGTACCCATGTGGGGATTCGAACCCGGGTCTTCGGCGTGACGAGCCAACGCTTTAACCATTAGGCTACCCCACCGTCCTTGGTTGATTGACATGAATATGGGTAAACGCACGTGTATCAGCGTTGTATGTGTAATGATTTGAATGAGTAGCGCACATTTACGTTTAAACGTAATTTTACTTGTATTTATATCATATCACTTGTATTCATATCGTTTTTAGCATACTGCAGATTGAGGATTGGTAACAAAGACACGTGGCCACGTGTTATCAGCTAGGGTTATCCATAGCAGATGCATTATATATATTCAATAACTGAACTAATTATAATGTTCCCAAAACGATACGTACAGTATGTCTTTTTGCTCATTATATAATTGTATTCATAATTTGTAGCGCTGTACCTTGATAAATAGTTCAGATTTATTTAACCAGATTGTGTTGATATAATGTTAAAATTGACACGAACGTGTACATATTTATTAGTTTCTAATTGATATTTCCTTATACTTCGGGGCATGTCATTAACCTGTCAACATCGACTGGATCGTCTTGGTTGGGGAGGAACGTGAGGTGCTGACAACGTCGCAGTTGGGTGACATCCTTGATTTTTGACAACACGTACACAATGTTTATGACTTGTAAGTCTCACAATCAAAACACCTTTAAAATACTGTGTTTTGTGGTCTCAAAGCACCACTTGTGTACTTTCTTTTATAGATCAGTTTTGCAGACAGACAGACGTATTTTATCAAAGTGTCAGTTACAATAGGCATACATGTAATCAAGGTATTTAAAATATTAATACAAAAGCTATCATCCAGCTTTAACTGGCTTATGAGACACTAAATATTTAAACTTATGGAACATAAAAAAGCATATTACAAACTACAATATTAAATGAACAATATACATGAAAAAATAAGTGAGAATATGCAACCATTGTGTTTAAAATGCACAGGCTATAGCATATAAATCATATAAGAGCATTACATAATATAATACGGTAAGTTGTGCTTGAAATATTTTTAGAAAGTATATAAAAGTTTAAGTAGGCGCATGTAAATTGCGTCTTAAGGACATTTTTGTTATATTATTGGCTAACATACGTACAAAATTAATATTTTCAAACTTCATGAACTTAATAAACAAAGTATTTTTATCATTTATAACAATATCATTAAACGTATAATATTAGGCAAACAGATTGTATGTAAGATCAACCTAAAATTTGCATTCACACAAAATGTGAATTTCATTTTCAACATTCACACAAAAGGGACATGTCCTCAAATTGATAGGGCGGTGGGGTAGCCTAGTGGTTAAAGCGTTGGCTCGTCACGCCGAAGACCCGGGTTCGAATCCCCACATGGGTACAATGTGTGAAGCCCATTTCTGGTGTCCCCCGCCGTGATGTTGCTGGAATATTGCTAAAAGCGGCGGCGTAAAACCAAACTCATTCATTCAGTCAGTCAGTCCTCAAATTGATAGGTGTAGGGGCTTACAGCAACCTCCGGTTTCGATATGCAGCGGGAGGGAACCACATACATCGGTGTAAAATAACATAAACTCCCCCTTTGTTACTGCCAATGCTTTACTATTATTCTACTATTCGTATAATTGGGACGTTTCCACGGGGAACGCAACCGTTCGTATTTACGAGGTTGCACTGTATATTTTGCTTTAATCACTTAACTGAACACTAGGTATCTTTAAATATACCCATTGACTCTTTTCAGCTATGAAAACTTGTCACACGTGGACTATTATTGGTGTGTTTAAGTTAGGACGCAGAACAAAGGTTAAGACAGGGACTGTAACAGCACAGGGCATATACATGAACCCGTTATAACCATAGTATGTCTGAACGGCATTTCCTCCGAGACATAAATATCATCCACTGGAAATCTGTTCTGACAGACCATTCGCTAGTACAAATACCGTTTATCATTGATGAACGATTTCCAGATTGGTGTATCTATGCATTAATGGAAAAACAACCACCTACCTTGTATCGACACATATTTGGACATGTCAAACCCGGATGATCCTGTTTCCGATAGAAACCCGGAATCCACAGCATTCTGGCTAGCCGAGGAACCGACCAGTATGTCTTGTCTGGGGAGAGAGGCTCCGTGCCTGCTGTTTACTCATTTACTGTTAATTAACAGCTACTTTACCTGGCCTGTTATCGTAAGACAGGGGTCGGTTCTGGTGAGGGGGCAGGTTGATTGGACGAAGCGAGGGATTGTGGGTAAAAGGGAAATGTTCAGGAAATTGTTTAAAAATATTGGAACTATAAACACCGGCACCAGAAACAACAGCTCCAGAACAGTGTGACAAGTCATTCTCTTAGAGATGAATAGTTGGGAGAATAATCCTCTCTCATCTTAAGATAGACCCTTTATCACTTTCTACAAGGTATTTGTTTACTGTTATTCCTTTCTACCACTAAGTTCATGTTCTAAGAATAGGAACAGACCAAGATTGTGGCGAATGCAGATGAATCGTCATAATCTGCATATGTGGAGATATAATGCTGTCATATTAAGGTCTTTGTTAACTGATTTTAAGGTTTTCCTCTGTAAATGTTGTGTTAAATCTACTTTTCTTTATAGCTTCGTAGCATGGTTTTATCGTATGTTTTAAAGGATTCTCAGAGCTTCCAATTAGAATGATAATGAATAATTATGTCGCCTGTTCTCTTTGCAAAGTTTTCGTACAAATTAATTACTAGTTGGTTGCTTGGTTACTATGGTGATAAGATGGAAATATATACAATTTGCCTTCAGTAACAAAACAACCCCAATGGTCACATTCTGAAAGTAGCGTTATAAATCACACATTAACCTGTTTGGGCTCCAGACTTCACAGCAGGGATGAGGATGAAAGAAACTTACTTCCTCTCCAAGCGGGGCTGCCACAGACGCTGACAGACTTTTACAAGAATGCTGAGCTACGGAAGTCCTATTTGTGTGCTCCGCCGAAAACAACTATACTCATTCTGACAATGACCTTGTTTCTAACTGGCCCTAAACGTGGATGGCTCTTTTCTTATCTTCTGTCGACGCTAATGTTTGGGTGAAGTAGAGCGGCTTGTTATAGGCGGTGTTCGTTGGTGATGGTACGTCTTACTGCAACGTGCACCGATTAGAGATCAAGTTACCTACTGACATTCCCATCGGTGCATATAGATGTCTCTGAATACATCTACACCATATGCTTCTCGTCATCGCCAACCACGAATGACTTAGGCATAGTGTTTTTGTAATGCAGCTTATTATAGTTCTATTTTCCGTCAAACGATTTTGTACGTGCATATATATGGGTTTATTTCAGTTGGTAAAGGTGAGTGAGTGAGTAAGTTTAGTTTTACGCCGCACTCAGCAATATTCCAGCTATATGGCGGCGGTCTGTAAATAATCGAGTCTGGACCAGACGATACAGTGATCAACAGCATGAGCATCGATCTGCGCAATTGGGAACCGATGACATGTGTCAACCAAGTCAGCGAGCCTGACCACTCGATCCCGTTAGTTGCCTCATTGTGTGGATTCCAGCGCATGTTGGGCTCCATGGAAATGAGCTAGCAGACCAACTTGCGAAATCTGGCTTGCAAACTCGAAATTTGATTTCGGAATTCAGACCCCAGCCAAGCGATTTCGACTGCATATTAGTAAGATCCTTCACGTCAAACTGGCAACAGCTGTGGGATGCTGGGACTGCTGACCGGCAAAAGTATTCAGGTTGTCCTTATGTGAAATCGAATCGGACAATTCGTCGACGTAAGAAACGCGAAGAAGTCACAGTCACTAGACTTCGTCTTGGACACTGTGGTTTAAATGTTTACCCGAGTGTCACTGATAAAGATGCCTCTTCCGTATGTACACATTGTGACGGAAATACAACAGAGACAGTGAAACATTTAACTGAATGCCTCGGCCACAATGATAACTGATCAAATTTAAAGGAACAACATTACATCACACTTCTCTAAACTTAAATAATGCATTGCTCTCAATAATACTAACTATCAGCCCTCAGGGAAGCTACCATATAATTTATTCCAAACAAATTTTACATTACAATATTAAATGAAACATTTCGAATGAATTTATGCAACGTTGCATTAAATTGACTCTCGAGCCCTCTACCGGCCGACCATTATTTCAAGCGAACCCCACAGAGTTATGTTCCTTGGGGCGCTCGTTGCAAATATCCTGCGCAGAACTTGTGATTGAAAACCAGCTCGGCAAACACCAACAAAACTGCGTGCGACAGTTTTCGATCTACAGAGCAATTGTTTATATTCCATATATGGCAAATGTTCTGTTCGTAAGCTATTCGCCTTGAAGTTTCAGTTATCGATTTGAGTTAAGTCGTAAGGAATAATAAGTCTTTTATTGCATCAATAGGAAGCTTAAGTGAGTGCATATGCCCAATATGTATAATATAGGACAAAAGATTGTCTAAAATGTGTGTCATTGTGCCTTTAAGAAGTGCACTACTTGAGAAGGAAAGCTATTTTATGGTTCAGGTCAGCGGGCAATATTAGACTTTGTGTGTGCATAGGGAAAATTTGATATATTATAAAATTTTGATGAACTCATTTATCTGTAATAACTTTTAAACCATTTTAACTGTTTCTCTTTATCTGATCTGCGTTTTTATTGAACAAGTTCTTACTTTCCAGAAAAAGTAATTAATTGCGGTTTTAAAATATAAACTACTAGTCTATCATAAAGTAGTTTGGTTAATCATACCTCATTGTTCTTGTTTAAAGTCATTTGATTTGTTGGCGCAAATAGAAACTTTAAAGGTCCAAATAGCCCCAAAACTAAAATACCATACTATACCTTACCATACCATTAATACCATACCCTCCATGTAATACAACAGATGTATGATATAGAGAGATGGCTGAAGAGGTATAACACCAGATATAGAGGGATGACAGAAGAGGTATAACACCAGATATAGAGAGATGGCAGAAGAGGTATAACACCAGATATATAGGGATGGCTGAAGAGGTATAACACCAGATATAGAGAGATGGCAGAAGAGGTATAACACCAGATATAGAGAGATGGCAGAAGAGGTATAACACCAGATATAGAGGGATGGCAGAAGAGGTATAACACCAGATATAGAGAGATGGCAGAAGAGGTATAACACCAGATATAGAGAGATGGCAGAAGAGGTATAACACCAGATATATAGAGATGGCAGAAGAGGTATAACACCAGATATAGAGGGATGGCAGAAGAGGTATAACACCAGATATAGAGAGAAGAGGTATAACACCAGAAGATGGCAGGTATAACACCAGATATAGAGAGATGGACAGAAGAGGTATAACACCAGATATAGAGATGGCAGAAGAGGTATAACACCAGATATAGAGAGATGGCAGAAGAGGTATAACACCAGATATAGAGGGATGACAGAAGAGGTATAACACCAGATATAGAGAGATGGCAGAAGAGGTATAACACCAGATATAGAGAGATGGCAGAAGAGGTATAACACCAGATATAGAGAGATGGCAGAAGAGGTATAACACCAGATATAGAGAGAAGAGGTATAACACCAGATATAGAGATGCAGAAGAGGTATAACACCAGATATAGAGGGATGACAGAAGAGGTATAACACCAGATATAGAGAGATGGCAGAAGAGGTATAACACCAGATATAGAGGAGATGACAGAAGAGGTATAACACCAGATATAGAGAGATGACAGAGAAGAGTATAATAACCAGATATAGAGGGATGGCAGAAGAGGTATAACACCAGATATAGAGAGATGGCAGAAGAGGTATAACACCAGATATAGAGGGATGACAGAAGAGGTATAACACCAGATATAGAGGGATGACAGAAGAGGTATAACACCAGATATAGGGATGGCAGAAGAGGTATAACACCAGATATAGAGGGATGACAGAAGAGGTATAACACCAGATATAGAGATATGGCAGAAGAGGATAACACCAGATAGAGAGGGATGAGAAGAGGTATAACACCAGATATAGAGGATGACAGAAGAGGTATAACACCAGATATAGAGATGGCAGAAGAGGAATTATAACCAGATATAGAGGGATGACAGAAGAGGTATAACACCAGATATAGACAGAGACACAGAAGAGGCAGAAGATAACACCAGATAGAGAGATGGCAGAAGAGGTATAACACCAGATATAGAGAGAGGGCTGAAGAGGCATAACACCAGATATAGAGGGATGACAGAAGAGGTATAACACCAGATATAGAGGGATGACAGAAGAGGTATAACACAGAGATATAGAGATGGCAGAAGAGGTATAACACCAGATATAGAGGATGATGGCAGAAGAGGTATAACACCAGATATAGAGGATGACAGAAGAGGCATAAACACCAGATATAGAGGGATGACAGAAGAGGTATAACACCAGATATAGAGGGATGACAGAAGAGGTATAACACAGATAGAGATAGAGAGAAGAGGTATAACACCAGATATAGAGATGGCAGAAGAGAGTATAACACCAGATATAGAGAGGATGACAGAAGAGGTATAACACCAGATATAGAGAGATGGCAGAAGAGGTATAACACCAGAGATATAGAGAGATGATATAGAAGAGGTATAACACACCAGATAACACCAGATAGAGAGATGTATAACAAAGAGATATAGAGAGATAGCAGAAGAGGTATAACACCAGATATAGAGGGATGACAGAAGAGGTATAACACCAGATATAGAGGGATGGCAGAAGAGGTATAACACCAGATATAGAGAGATGGCAGAAGAGGTATAACACCAGATATAGAGAGATGGCAGAAGAGGTATATAACACCAGATATAGGGAGAGATAACCCAGATGGCAGAGAAGAGGTATAACACCAGATATAGAGGGATGGCAGAAGAGGTATAACACCAGATATAGAGAGATGGCAGAAGAGGTATAACACCAGATATAGAGGGATGACAGAAGAGGTATAACACCAGATATAGAGGGATGACAGAAGAGGTATAACACCAGATATAGAGGGATGGCAGAAGAGGTATAACACCAGATATAGAGGGATGACAGAAGAGGTATAACACCAGATATAGAGAGATGACAGAAGAGGTATAACACCAGATATAGAGGGATGACAGAAGAGGTATAACACCAGATATAGAGAGATGGCAGAAGAGGTATAACACCAGATATAGAGAGATGGCAGAAGAGGTATAACACCAGATATAGAGAGATGACAGAAGAGGTATAACACCAGATATAGAGAGATGGCAGAAGAGGTATAACACCAGATATAGAGGGATGACAGAAGAGGTATAACACCAGATATATAGAGGGATGGCAGAAGAGGTATAACACCAGATATAGAGATGACAGAAGATGGTATAACACCAGATATAGAGAGATGACAGAAGAGGTATAACACCAGATATAGAGGGATGACAGAAGAGGTATAACACCAGATATAGAGATAGGATGGCAGAAGAGGATTATAACACCAGATATAGAGGGATGACAGAAGAGGTATAACACCAGATATATAGAGGGATGGCAGAAGAGGTATAACACCAGATATAGAGGGATGGCAGAAGAGGTATAACACCAGATATAGAGGGATGACAGAAGAGGTATAACACCAGATATAGAGGGATGACAGAAGAGGTATAACACCAGATATAGAGGGATGACAGAAGAGGTATAACACCAGATATAGAGAGATGACAGAAGAGGTATAACACCAGATATAGAGGGATGGCAGAAGAGGTATAACACCAGATATAGAGGGATGGCAGAAGAGGTATAACACCAGATATAGAG